GGTGGGGAAATTGGGATTTATTCCTGGGACTGTAATAAATCTCGCTGTTATCCGTGCATTATCCGGATAAATCTCATTCGATAAATCCCACGGGTGGAGTTGCTCTTAGTGCACACCACAACATAAACGAATTGTCGTCATGAAGTCCCAGCGTTATGTGCGACTTGCTTGTCCAACACCGTTTCGAAGACGACGTCGCCCCGACGGAATACTTTGCCTTTGGTTACGATGTGGTTGACGGCCGTCCTTCGGTTGGGTTTGGAGGGTCAAGTTGAGGTTTCAAAGTTGGGGTGACCACGAAGGCGCTGCTGTACCAAATGAACCGAAGCCTTAACACGTTTTTGTTCCACTGGGATGGTACCTACAAAATCAACAAATTGGCCTACCCTGTCTTCGTTTGCGGTATCTCGGATGTGGCTAGAGTGTTCCATCCAGTGGCCTTCTTCCTCATCGGCAAGGAAAGTACAAGCGAATACGCATGGGCGATACGTTCCCTGATCGATATCTACCTCGCTGTGGTTGGCCGGTCGTTGAAGATTAAGTTTGTCATGGGTGATGCTGCCCAAGCTCCGGCGCAATCACTGTTGGTCGCTCAACCGAGCTCGTCGAGTGGACTCGCCGGGACAGGACCAGCAAGCAGCACTGGCCATCGTAGCCGTCCGGATTGAGCTTGGTGTGGAACACATACTCACGTATTTTTACCATTGTCTTGCGTGTGTCCACAATCGGCTGACTGGTTTGCCCCTGACAGCGAAATCACTTGCATTGAAGTACATCTACGACATGTACTATGCGCGTATTCAAGAGCAACTGTCGCGTTCATGGCAGGCGGTTTGTGGGGAGTGGCTCAGTTGTGACGAATTGATCGCCAAGGATTTCACTTGGTACTGTTCACGAAGATTGCACATCCATCGGGAAGGTCACTGTACTCCAAGCAGGGCGATTCGCGTTTCGCTGCAAAGTGGCCGCTGTACCCCAACCTGTCCAATTGCTCCTGTATTAAGTGGTCGAGTTCTTCGAGGCAAATAATGTATGGTGCATACCGTGCGATCGCTGCCAGAATCCTACGCGTCGAGTGTACCATCATATGTACGTATGACACGATTGGAACCATTTCACTCGTACAAGTTGCGCGATACGACCATGGCAAGCACTCTGGGGGCGCAAGGATGAACCCTCCCTTGTCATGACGCAAGTCGCATAGCCCATCGGCTAGGACGTTGAATTGCATTACTGTGATCTCATCTGCCTCGTCGTCTTTGATGCCCACAACGCGGCCGTTTCGCGAGTACAGTTCGCAGTCCGCCATCCCAAATGAAACACAGACGTACAGACATATTATCCGGAAATCTAAAAAAATATCCGGATACATTATCCGTATTGATCCACCGTTCATACGCGCGCATTTTCAAAATTACCACACAACCGTACGCTTCCGCAACGCAATGTTACACGCTGGCGAGGCGCAGCGGCGCTTCCTTCCCCAAGACAGCTTGCTCGATGGCGTCGATAATGCCTTGCTTCGTCCTCTTGGAACAGGCGATGCCGAAGGCTGCGCATACGCCTTTCAGCTGCGCGACGCTCATGCTCTCCATGTCTTGAGGCAAGTCCTCCAGTGACACAGGTCCGCGCTTTCGCTTGTTGGTCGCAGAATTCGACGAGCCTCCATTGCCCACCATGTTCTTTGCGTCCAACGTATTGCGGTACCGCACCAATCGACCGATGAGCTCCTCTCGTGTTCCTGTGGCGTCGAGTTGGTAACCCTTGGCCATGTGTTGCAGTTGGGTCGCAGTCAGTAGCCACATGTCTGACGACTTGCCGCCCAAAAACTCCCACGATGCAGCGTTCTGAACCTCGTCCTGGTTTTCACTTGCGACCGTCCGAGCTTCTTGTTTCTACAAGGTTACAGTACGCCATGACCTCAGTTGTACTTCTTTTGTGATGATGCCAGTGGGAGGATTATTACCTGCGACAGGTGTCGCATTTTGATTTGATATGCTTGAATTTTGGTGGCATTTGTGCAGGTGCGTAAATGACTCATGCGGCTGTCCTCCGTAGGATCCACGTCGCCGTCTCCACATCGCGGGCACGCGTCGAGAAGGTTCATGGCAAACAAGGTTTCTTTTCCTTGAGTGGACCCCATGTCGTCGCTTTTGGTCTGCCTCCCCGAAGCACGTTTCGTGCGTTCGTCTTTGCGGGCCTTGTCTTTGAGCTTGGTTTCTTGCGTTGCTCGTATCGCTGCACGGTACTCTTGTTCTCGACGATTCGAGATCTTGTACATATAAAACCCGTAGGTTTTGCTGCACGACGCACACGTCAAGTGCCGGTGGAAGTCGTTTGGATGGTACTCGACGCGGCGGTGGCAATGCGGACAATGGTGTTCCGCTGACATACATCCAAATTCGAACAAACACGTGGCGCAATGAAACGTCTTGAGGCCCATCATGAGGAAATTGAAGTCAAATGGCTCACATCCATGTGATGGGAGCCCCCACGCTTGGTGGCATCGAGGACAATGCACCGGCGTCCGATGACACCCTTCGTTGGATCGCATGATTTCCATGGTCCCGTGTTTTGCTTTTGCCGGCACGGCGGTGATCAGTTCAGGGGGTTGCGACAACATTTCATACGCAGTGACGAGTGCTTGGAATGCTCTGGTAGCATCGGCAAAGTCCTTGGGAAGTTTATCTGGGTGAACTAGGAGCGACAACTTGAGATACGCCTTGCGCATGATTGCCGTCGACGACGATGGCTGAACATCGATCCCAGACGCAGACAAGATGGCGGAGTAATCATCTGTGGCAGCGAGTTCAAGGATGGCTTTGGCCTGCTTCACCCCAGGCGTGGCCTTGAGATCATCGCTTCGCGATGGCATCGACGATGTGGACGTCGATTGCAAATGCTCGATCAACAGCGTCAAGAGTTCGTCCTTGTTGCCTTGTGGATCCTTTCCTAGCAAGGCGACTTGCTTTCGCAGTTGTGCAGGTTTGAGGTCAAACGGAGATACTGACGTGCCGTCGACGTGGATGGTGAGCTTCTCGTGTACGACGTCCATGTGCAGCTTTACTCGGTGTGCAACATCACGAAGCTCTCCAGCCATGGGAAGCTTAACCTCCATCAGGTACTGCTTCAGATCTGCGAGCTTGGCGCGCTGAAGTTGATTGCGCGTCCACAGATCATGCAACGGCGGCGGCGCTCTCGTCATCCGGTTCAATGTGGGAATGTGGCCCCAAAGCCGGGACTTGATTGGCGGTGGGCGGGGCCAATCAGAAGAATCTGGCAGATCGGTTTACTATAGTGGTTTCCGTACCGACCACTTGCGTTGTTGAGACCCTTCCACGTCATGCCACTGGCCTGACCAGTGAAAAGCGAATCCACGAATTAGCCCAGTGGTGTGGAGCCAACCAGCTACTTACTACCCGCGATCAATAGTCCCGATTCGACGGTACTACATGTACGTTCATGTTAGGACGTTGCATCAAGCGCTGACGTGTACAGTCTTCATCGCCATTTTGCGAGGGGACGTATCATCAGACATGGTCAACGCGCTACTAGCAATGCTGTCATCGACACGACCACTGAATCAACACTTGAGTGATTTTCCATGGGGGGCTATGAATATACTACTATTAATAATTGGAAGTAAGTAATAGTAGTAGTTACTACGGTAGTATCCGCTGTTGCACAAAGCACCCACTCAATACTCCTAGTAAAGGCGGATCAAATGGATTCAAATGTCATTGGGCGAAATGTGACATCACAAGTTCAAATTTGGGTGAAATGCTCAATACTTCGAAGTAAAACTGAACTGTCGTGACGACGTGCGTGTTGTGCCTGGAACTCGAATGGTCTTCTTTCTAGTAAAAAGGATGGCCCAGTCATCACCACCACTAATATTTGTATGAGCAGCGGTTTCGTGGCCAACGTGATATCTATTCTTGACATAACGTTAGGGGAAGTTCCAAGTAGTTTTCAGAAATAGCATGAGCCAATCAAGATCGAAAAATACGTCAAGGACCTCGTTTTCTACTTTTGGTATAGTGAGTTGCGTAAAAATCGCACAAAAAGACGTAAAAAGTAGGAAACTGGACTTGGAACCAATTTTCCATTTTGCTAAAAATATCTACTACCCCTTACATTAGTACAGTGTGTAGCTTAGCTGACCAATTAGAACGATTGACTGAATGTCACCCGTCGGTTTCACAATGTTCGTTGGGACCTTCAAACGATACCAACGATTGGATCTGCTACAGTCTGTGCCTGCGACCATCACAACACGACAGGTATTAGTATGACAAAGATTTGTGCGGCACAAGCCCCTATGGCTGATGCTTCGTCCACAAAACCCAACCAACGAGTCGTGTGGAATCGACCCATGTCGGCATTCAGCTTGATCATAGCGCTCAACATCGTGTCAATGGTACGACGACGATACTACTCGTACCATTGCAAACGAATGACGGAAACGTGTTATAGCCATTGCGGGCGTACCTGACAGAAGCGTTGCCGTGGACAGGGAAGCCCCAGCCGTTGGAGTGGAATGGCACAACGTACGCAGCCAACAGCACATGGATGATACTGCAGCGCATGCAATCGCTGTACAACAACGACACGTTGCCCGCACACGCCATCATTTTTAAAGACCCGACCAATTACACCACCGTGATGCGATACACTACGCACGCCCTAGCACGTGGCACGCCCTGCGACGAGAATGTCCACTTGCTCCCTGGTGGGTTGTCCCTAGACGACCTACACTACCACTACACTGCTTGAAATGACGCATGCTGGCTGGCTTGTAGGTGCCATCTTCTACGGTCACGGCATGCGGAAGGCGTTTTGTCAGTTTGTCCAAGACAACTCGACGTCTGCGTCCATGGCACATTGTCAGCACATGCGGCAATTTGGAGTGACAATCACGGAGCAATGCGTGTGGATACACGCTCAACCTGACGAGGCGTCTCGAGTTGTGTACCAAACGCTGTATCAGTGGGAGGTGGCGTGGTTCCTCTGGGCCAAGCTCATCCTTCGCTGTGTCTTGACAGGCTACGTTGTATGGGAAATGCGGCTGCATTACTACGACCACTGCGTGGCGCTTGTGCGTGCCTTGGAGACGTATGGGATGCCCGACCCACTGTCGCCCCTCCACCACATCGAAGTGTACATTGGCGACCCCACATGCCTCATCCTTGGCAACCCCCTCGTGTCCTTGTGCTTTGTGATCGATTTTTGGATGAGTGTCACCTCCGTGGGCGAGGTAATGTTGCAATTGAGTCAACTGGACGACCTTGGGTATTTCCTCTCAGGGTGCATCTACTCCTCGCGCACGGTACGTACACACACATATCCGTACCTTGACCGTCCATTACGCCTCACGGTACTGTGTACAGGTGTGGTTTGCCTACTTTTCCATGCGGTATTCCACGATTCCAATCAAATGGTGGGGCGTCCACGATTGGGTCGTTCCTCTCGATCCCACTGCTATTGCTATCGGCGCCTTCCTTCTCTCCGGACCGTTCGTGTACTTGAACGCTACCACGCCGCTAGTATGGCTACTATATACATTGTGGTCCATCGGCGTCCCAGAGCCAGACATGGATGACTCCACCGAGATCATTCCAGGTACCAACCCCCTCTACATGCAGGCATTCTCGAGAAGAGCAAACCATCATAAATTGTAGCTGTCGTGGCTATGACGACCATAATGGGTTTTGTTCCTGTCGTCCTGGTTGTGAGCATCAAACTGTCCCAACATCTCGTTGCAAGTAATACAAAGTGTATTGTGCATGTCCACTTGCTGCTGCTACAGAGGTGAATTGCATGCCAACGTCATCGTGTTTGTGTAGCACTGATGCCGCCTGTCAGTCGTCGTCAGCATAGCGCGACTGAAACGGCAGACCAATCGCGACGATACAGCTCCATGGAGTTCAACGACTTTAACCAACGCATGGTGCTATCGATTCTGCAGCCCAGCTGCATCAATTTAGTTCGATCGAGGGGCGGGTCCGTTTATGTTCTGTACGACCTCAGCGCGACGTTCCAGAACATGCCACTGTTCAGACACCGAAGCGCCGACTGTTTTGTCGTTGGCTACGATGCTACGAGCACCCCCATCGAACACCTTCGGTTGAGTTTGCTGCAATGTGTGGACTTGAGTCGAAACGGCCGCAGTTCCATCTCTGTGTGCGGGATGACCCACGATGCGGCCGTGTGCATCCTCAACACCAAACCCTGTTTGGCCACTTCGCCCATCGCCACCCTGCGCATTCACCCCGGCGCAAGCAGCTCCAAGTGGCTGTTGTAACGCTACGACCACAATCATTTAACGGTACCGTCGCAGGCCATCAATTTCGCATATATATGGCCAACTTGGTTTGACACCGCTGTTCAAGTCGTTCTTGACGGTGTATTTCACAGCAACGACTTGAGGTTGTTGGTCATACCGAATGGGATGATGCCCAATCCTGGTTGAAAGATGTACAATACAACCTACATTAGTGTCGTCAAAATAATAACAATATTATTGTGCTTTCGAGTGAAATTTCGTGGTTTCTCGTTGGAATTTAAATCGATTTGATTGGCTACCTCAGATGAGCTCAACATTATTAGCCAATCAAAACCTTCTAAATTGAATTCAACCAATCAGATCGATTGTGGATCGGTTTGGTCGGCGCGATTCGATTGCACCCCCCTCCCCAAATTTGTATCAAATTGACAATATCGCAACCCCTTTCACTTCACGGCAAAAACCTATAGATGGAACCGTCACACGATTACATTACTCATCATCCGACTATCTAAACGTATACTCGTGAAGGGCAAAGTGAACGCATCAACAGAGCCTATTTACATTTGTAATTTGCATTTAATATACTTACGTAACATCCAACCTATGAAACATAGCCGTGCACTCCCTCGTTACAACGACACATCCGCATATGGTGTGACTGGTAATACGTTGTCGTCTAGACTGTGGCTGCTGTTCTTGCGTGTTTTCGTTGCTGGTGTTTGGTTGGATTGAATCACTTCTTCAAAGTCCTGGTATTGCGACGACCGCTGGTCGTTGGCGGTGGACAAGTACACGCTAGAAACATGGCCCGCGGCCACGGGCGCCGTGGACGTGTCCTTGAGCTTTGGCACGACACGATGGAGCGTTTCCGAGAACTCGGTCGCGTTGTCCAGTTGCAAGCTGGCAAACTGGAGGAACATTACCTTTAGCACGCTGGCCTTTTCTTCGCGAAATTTCAGCACTTCGCTCATCACGCGCTCGTGGACGGCTTCAAAGTCGGCTTTGGCGACTTGAACTGCTGCGTTCACATGCGACGCCGACGATTGGCCCAAGAAGGACGAGAAACTGGACCGTTGCTTGTCGGGGGACTCGGAGGCGGCCTCGGGGGAGGCGCCGCTCAACTTTGCGGCGGCGGCCAACTGCGCCTGATAGGCGAATCGACGGTCCTCGCGCGTTGCCAGCGCTGCCTGCACACTCGTGATCCATCGCGAAAAGTCGTCGACCGCGTCCGTCAGCATGGCCCAATCCGAGTCGAGATGCTTGGCACGAATGTCCACAATCTCCATGACAGATTGGAACCCCACCGACTTCATTTCGGGCAAGGACGACTCGAGTTCGGCTAGCTCGGACGTGGCTTCGATTACGTCGCAATACGCCGCGGACGTCGCTCGGTTGGCGCGGTACGCGGCAAGGACTTTCTGTTGCAGCAGCTTGGCATGGCCATCCAGCATGGTCACGTAGCCTGCAATCTGGTCAAACGCCAGGTCTTGGTCGGATTTTGGCTTGGCCACGACGTCGCGGCCGGTCGCGCGGGCAGCCAGCGACTGGACCTTGTCGTGCTCGGAGAACTTTTGGACGGCTTTGCCAAACCAATTTGTAAGCGCCTGCTTGGGGTCGTTGACCACCTTAGCCTTGGCTTTCAACGCTGACAAGTCTACTGTCGACGCTTGTAGGAACTGCCGGAAGCTTGGCGCGTGCATGAGCACTTCGTGGGCCGCAACGTTGGTCAGGAACTTTTGCAGCCCGATGCGCCGCGCCTCCAAGAACTCACGGGAATGCAAAATGCCCACCACTTTTCCTGGAATCGGTGGTAAGATGCACCCCGGGCATGTTTTGGCGAGCTGCGCGTGGAGCCATGCAAAGTCCGAATACCGTCGGTCGACTTCTGTGATGGACGGACCGAAGAGGCTGCAGCGCACTGGATACACATGGTGGCCGTTCACTCCGTCCCCCACTCGGCCAGCATCACCTACGTAGATCATCGCGTGTTTGCTATCGTTGGCTTCTTGAGCAGTGGTAGGATGGTTTGGTTGTTGGTGGAGAAGATCTCAGTTAGTTGTTCGACGCCTTGGGTCTTTCGAAAAAGTCGTTACAGAATTCGTAAACTACAGGTATGGGACAAAATATATTTTTCTTCGAAGTTGCTCAATTAATATCACGAACTATAATAAACATACATCAATACAGTTATATTACCAGATTAAAATCGTTATATGTATGATGTAAACGCAATAATATGAACCATCCGAAATATATTCGTCGCTTGAGAGTTCCAGGAGGTCTCGCGCAAGCCGTCGATGCGAAAAGCGGTGACAATGCTATGCAAGGCGCGACATTGACGGGGGCAAGGACGGGACGGTCACGAGAGACATGGACAATGCATGGATCCAACGCTACTCGAATCGAGGCATTTTATGTAACTGTCGCCAAGGGTCTGCAAATATTTGATGTTGTGAAGGCAATCATTCGAAAAACAACACCACATGAGTGCCGTGGGCGATGACGAGTACGAAAGCAGCGACGACGACGACGAATTGTCCTCGTCGTCTGGGGAGGACGAAAGTAGTGACGAAAGTAGTAGCGGTACCAGCGATGGCGACGACGACAATGACAACCAAGCCAAGGATCAAACCGACGACGACCTCGCCAAAGCCAAAGCAGTCGCGGACGATGTGGCTGCCATCAAGCGACTGGCAAACGACATGCAAAAGATTTACCTTCGTCTAAAGTACCGCCACGACGGGCCAAAGGAAAGCGCGGTCATGACGGCTCCGTTGTCGCCAAAACCAGAAGAACATGAGGAGCTTCCGTCGACGGAGCCGGTTTCAAAGCCCCTGCGTCCTCGTCCCCTTGAGATTCCGACCGAACCCTCGACCATCGGCTTCACCAAGACCGACGCCGCGACGGACTCGGACGACTTGCATTTGCCACCAACTGTGCCGGCTATTGCTTCTTTGGTCAAGTTACCATTTGAAGACGTACTCTCAAAAAGCATCGAGTCCAAGCACTCGAATGTACTAGCCAAAGGGCAAATCGACACCGAGTGCAAGCTGCAGATGGAGCTAAAACACACCATGCCGCTGCATTTGCTGCAGTACATGCTGGGTACACCTCAGGTCAAAACCGAAGATGCCACGTCCAGAACCATCAACGGCAATGATGATGACAATGATACATTGGAATCCCCATCACGTCGGCGACTCTCTCAGCGACCTAATCCACCAAGGAGCATGCCATATGGTAAAGAAGACTCTACGGTACAGCTACAACCGGCCCCCACGCTGCGAAGGCCAGCACAAGTTGAACCAACGGATAGTACAGTGAATCGACGTGTGCCACACCAACTGTCGTCGTCGGTGGCACCGCTGCCACCTTCATGGACCAACGACAACTATGGAGACGAAGCCGAGCTGCCGCCCGTAATAACCACAGAGGTAGCCACGCCACCCAAAGTTCCTCCCGCCAAGATAAGTAGTTTGAACCACCCAGAGGGCGAAGTTGTCCACGCAACGAACGACGAAGAACTAGAGTTCAACCAGCAAGGGGGAGATGAAAGCTCCGTGCCAGTGGACGTCACCCCACCAGAAGACGTCGCACTGCCAGCTCATGAGACGACAGACCCCTCAGCACACCCAGGTGAGGCAGCGAATGACACTATGGTAATGAGTCAACCATCCGAGGTCGCTATCGTCAGTGACAAGCTCGCCTCCGTCGATAACGAAAGTATGGTCAAACAAAGCTCGGTACCTCCCGCAATGGTCCCATCAGCCCCGCCCCAAACCTCAGACAGCTCATCTCTTACACGAGAGGAAGCAGCACAGCCATTGGTTCAGCCATCACCACAATCATCTGCTCCACACACCACCACGACTCCCAATGCACAAGGCACCGTCGTGTCACCACTGACAAGACAGCCAACGGCCACAGCCAGTTCCCGACACCTGTCTATGCCTGGGAGATTACCGTCCCAGCGAATGACCCCTCCAGGCAACACTGCACCTGTGGACGTTGTATTGCCGCCGCCGACGATGATGGAGCGGCAACCGCCGGATACAACGTCCGCTAGGGCAGGCCAAATGATGAGCCCCCAACCAGCCCCCCTTTCGACAATGCAACAGTCTCTCGCAGAGCCACTTGAGGATACGCCTCTGACTAGTCGCACTCCTATCACACGACTCGACTCTGTCTCCGCTATCAGTACACCCCCCTCCGGCACTTTGCCAGTGAACTCTACTGCGTCGCCCGCGAACCACGCTATTCCTTCCCCTGCCTCCGTACCTTCGATGTCCCCGGCCCCCATAACAACAGCAAACGCCCCTTGGTTCAGTCCACCCACAAGCCCAGTGTTTAGCAGTCCACTGTCGTCGCCTCCATACAAACCACGCCCCACCATGGCATTTTCATCCGATATCCCTTCCCCAATGGCTTCACGAGCATACACGTTTGACACTTCCATGCCAAAAGACCTCCGCGTGACGTCCCCTCCAATGAGTCCGTCGCCAGACAAACCTGGGCTGATGACTAGTACTCGATCTTTCTACTCACATCAACCGCCGCTCCCGTTTGGGGGGTCGACGTCTACTACGACAACCATCGAGTATGAAGTGAACGCGATGCATTACTTGCTATTTGGACCCCCTCCTTAACCTTCAATACCAATCGAAGTAGTCTTCAACCATCCATCATCCATCGTGTACTATTACGTACAAGAAGTATTAATACTGTAGTAGTACGTACTCCTATACAGTATTGTAGTATATTCGATACTGTGAATTTCCAGATCCGTCGACACATCAAATTCACTAAATATGGATTAGCCAATAGCGTCGATCGACGCTATTGGCTAATCCATATTTAGTGAATTTGATTGGCTCTTGCACAAAGGACAAGTATATTCAACCAATCAGAACTCCGACGTGATGCAATATTGACAAACCAGGCGAATTTTGCATGTTTCTAGCGAATTCACAATATACCAGGTTGGTTTGTTTCCTAATCCTCTGCCTACTGAGCGTCGGTCCAAAACCCCCAGCAGTTGCCGGTACACGCCGTGCTGCCACAGGTACGACAGTGGAACCCACTGCGGGTTTCCACGACCGACGGGTCGGCCTCCACGACTGCAAGCCGCGCCTTGACCTTTTCCAATTGCTTGCGCACTGTGCGTCGCTTGTTCTTGCTGCGCTTGGCCACGTCTGGTTCTTGCAGCAAGGATGCATACACTTGGTCCAGTTCAGCCACTTGCCGCTTTAATTCGTCCGCGGAAAAATACTGGATGAACGTAAAGTACGCGTGTTTCAGGTACTGGTGGTCCCCGCAGTGGACTTCGCCGTGGCGACTTGCGTAGCACGAATCGCATACAAGAACCAAGTCGCGGCAGACTGAGCACACTTTGCCGCCGTTGAAAGTGTCGTACGGGGACGAGCATTCGATGCACGAGCCCACGACGTCGCTTTGGTCGGGGCCCATGAGCACTCTACAAGAAACAGTGACGAGGTCAGGTATTGTCGATTTGATACAAATTTGGGGAGGGGGTCGCACCGACCAAACCGATCCACAATCGATCTGATTGGTTGAATTTCATTGAGAAGGCTTTGATTGGCTAGTCATTTTAAGCTCATCTGAGGTAGCCAATCAAATCGATTTAAATTCCAACGAGAAACCACAACACGAAATTTCACACTCGAAAGCACACTACAGTATTGTTGTTTTATTTTGTTTATATTAACATGGAGACTGAATGAATCGACAGAACCAAAAATCGGCAGAAGAATTCAGCCAATCAGATTGCAGGAAACCATCACCAACATCGAATTAGTGTGTGCCTGAAATTAGTGTGAATACCATCACCAAAGTTCAGTACAAAATGGATTTGGCGATTCAGCAGAAAGGTCCAAATTTTGAGTAAAAGGACAATATTGAATGAGTAGCGCTCGCACCGTTTGTCAAAAATGAAGTTTTTGCCCTTGAAATATCCGCCGTCGGGGAATTGCTCCAAGTACTTGTGGATACCGCCCTTGAGGTGATACACGTCTGTGACCCCGCGACTGCGCAGGAATTGCGATGCCTTTTCGCAACGGATGCCGCCCGTGCAGTACATGAGCACCTTGGGCTTGTCTTGTTTGAAGGACGGAATGTGCTGCTGGTCCAAGAACGTGTAGTACTCGGAAAAGTTTTTGACTTGTGGGTCGATGGCATCCTTGAAGTGGCCGACAAGAAACTCCTTGTGGGCTCGTACGTCCAGCACCACCTACGTAGTTTTACGTTCAAGCGTTGAAGCAGCACACGATTCGTCATTCCGGATAGTACCGTGTTGGACTTGTCCTTGTCCGCCATCGCTTCGTGGAACTGCTGTGGAGTCAAGTATCCTCGCTCGGCATCGGTCATGGTGACGGGAGGAGGTGCAACTGCACCACCCGTGCTGACAATCTCCTTGACGTACTTGATCACGAGCTCGCTGAACGGTGCCGTGGCAACCACCATGCTGCGTTTGAAATCGTCCGCGGTCATCGAGAACACCGGATGCGAACACATGTACGCGACGTATTCGTTGATCTTGTCCAACGACCCGGCGAACGTCGCGTTGATACCTTCTTCGCTCACCAACGATCGACCGAGCAGCCCCAACTCGACGCACTTGTCGTGCTGGGCAGTCTTTTCGGCCGTCGGGTCGGGCACTTCCACGTACTTGTAGAAGAGGATCACGTGGTAGTCGACGGATTCGCCTTCTTCAGACGTCTTTAATCGCTTGGAATCGCCTTGCTTTGGGGACAACGGTGCACCAGTTCCAGGCATGTTGATGCTGCTTTGGACGGCGGCTTGATTGTCAAAAAATGCTTGATCCAATCAATTCATTTGTGCGTATTTATGTACACGCCAACAATTCATTTTTATTCAAATTCGTAGGCAAGGAAATTATTTATCTTCAAACTTCGATCTTTTTTGTAAAAATCACAACTTATCCGGATAAAAGGACTACCGGATATAAAGATCGACCCTTTCATTTTGAATTTGCGCGCCACGACGGAACGATGGGAGATGTCGAGGCGAAGAAGAAGCATGTGCGGGAACTCGCGCTGCGAGGAGAGTGGACGATGGCAAGCGCGATCAAAATGCGTGAAGAATTCCATCAAGTGCATGTGGACTTGACCAAGAATGAGTAGATTGAGCGAACTTACGGCAAGAAGATGCTGCAGAAAGCAACAGCATGTACTTTCTCGATACAAATTTGTGTGGGCTGATGTGGGGTGCGTGCGCCTAGATGCTAAAAAAAGCAGTCGGACGCAGTTGAAAAGTCCTTGCGACAGAGACTTGCTGGTGCAGCGTCAAATTGAGCAGAAGCGGCTCCTTGCCTTGGACAAGTTGCAAAAGAAACAAGCTGAAGCAACACGACGCATCCAGCAGCCCCATGCGATTCCAGATCAACCGACCAATCGAGGTGAATCGACAATCGAATCCAATAACTCACATGTAGCGTACATAGATTTTCTCATCCAACAAGAGTTGGAAGCATGTGAAGAGTTTTTCTACGACACATTTGAGCCTGATGGGGTTATGAATTCGTCCAGCGATTCTACATTCCCAAGTTTCCATCTACTCAGCACGCCCCAATCTGTTGTCGGTCAATCCAATTCCATTCCGAACCAGAAAGTGCATCGAATTGAGGTAACACTATATCATCAACACTAAAGTAACCTCTTAAGCTACTGTAGCAAGACCCTGTTGCAAACAACATGTCAATCTTCCACCCACACCAAAAACGCGAGAATACTACTACGACCACAAACCCAAGCGGGTCATTCCCAACTCGACTAACGAACCGGAATGTCTTCACTGGTTCCCACACAGCGACAGGGAATCCCCACAAAACACTTCCTATATCCAAACAAGGTGTTGGACAGCATGTCTATTCCACTTCAACTGTCAACAAGCAACCTACGGCAATGACTGAAGTGACGCGCAAAACTTGGCAACGTCCACCGCAAGCGACTCAATTATTACAAGTTGTCTCTCGCACGACAGCACCGTCCGTGGCCTCATGCCCTAACGTTGAACAGTCCCGCTCCATGTTCACTTTGAATAACGTTACAGTGCGAACGTCTCCGTCGCCCCCACCCCAATCGTATCCCGTGAACAACATACCACAGGTCAAGCCGTATGCGATCTCAGATTTCAAGTACGACGACAAATCCCACCGTTTGCCAATTGTTGATTTATTGTGTTTGGATTTTTAGTCGCCTTTTGGCGGATAGCATTTTCGACGACGAATTCTGCGACCTGGTGCACTCCCTACTTTCCTAATCCTAAACTACGTCTACCTACTCCTACTACTACCTACCTACCTACCTACCTACCTAGCTCCTCCGTGAGTGTCTGCCGTTCATGTATATTTTCGGCAAATGGGGTCGGCACACGCGATATGTGCGTCCCAAAGCATCAGGTCCGATTCCAGGGCCAGCACCGGCAACGGCCTGCCTCGCAACGCCAGACTTTGGCGTGCGTTGTACTGAACGTTGACAAATTCGTGCTGTCGACTGAGCAAATACCGCCACAACGATCGCGTCGGTGCGTGGACTTCCTTGGCTCGCTTTTCCCGCTCCGAGTTGTACTGGAACGTGCCAAACAGTCCCGAGTACACATGTGAGTACACCGTCGTGAGAAGCTCATCGGAAAACTCAAACGCCCACGGCACCTGGCGCCATAATTGCCACATCGCGTCGAGCCACTGCACAAACACGGGCGACTGCTCTTCCAGTTCTTGGGCGTTCGGCGAGTCCCCAGCCCCTCCCCGCCACCGAAACATGTGTCCAAATGAGCACCATTCCTTGTCCATGAGCTCCAAAAAGCCGCGAAGGGTGCGGTAGTACGGATCCAGCATCACCTCCAACAGGCCCGCCACCTGCGACGTCCGATCCCATCCGTCGCTGCAGTGCACCATCACGGATTCCCCGCCACAAAGCAACTGCGATACAGAGCTCGCCGTGAACATGATGCTCGACAAATGCTGCAGCCACAACGTTCGCGACAACGCATCTGGGTTTACGGGGGTGCCGTGGGCATTTGGTTGGCACACCTGAGCCAACGCCACATACGACGACCGGACGCCATGGATGTTGACAATGTCGCAATGACGCAGCTCCGTGTTGGGGTAATTCCGCACGTCTTCTGTGCCCTTGCCATGAGCTACGTTGCCCGCCGCCGCCATTTGACTCCGCGCATCAAAGAAATAAAACGTCGACCCCGTTGTCAGAAGCCGCACGATTTTCTTGTCGGCTTCCGATGCAAAACCAGAGAGCCCGGCACGCGGCTGCGCACAACGACACAACGTTGCTTTGGTGTGGGGATGCCGCCACACGACAGCGGGGACGCGCGCGGCGCTGCGATATGCACTCAATTCCACCAAGTCGTCGTGGGTCAACCCACTCGGCACGACAAACGTGTGGGGATACGTGGGGAACAGACGGTACTCGAAATTGTCCACGAGCTGCCACAGGGACTCGTCAGTGTCGTCGACCAACCCCAACCGCGTGTAATCGACAATGGGGTCGTACAGGTCGACACTGGACGCCTCCTGTCCATCCACGTCTTCCAAACATGCGCCCGACCGAATGGCTTCGAAATGCACGTTGGAAAACGAGTACGACCCAGACGTGTACAGGGCTAACGAGGCATCGATCACACTGGCGGCGACGCTGTCGTCAGCAAAGGCAAACTTGGGGCGCAGGAGGTTCTTGCACTCCAACAGCAGCACGTGCGACGCCGTGACGGCGGTCTCCATGTTGACGACGGAGGCCAGAGGTATGTTGAGCATGTCCCCCGCCGTGGATGTCCAAACCAGGCGGTAGTTAGTCAAGATGAGCATCCCATCGAGGCTGAAGTGCGGATCCATGCCCAGGACCATTTCCCCCACAACGTTTGTCATGTGTCCGACGCTGCGAAACGCTCCTTTGACCGTGTGGCTTCCAAAACCCCATACGCCTAAACCCAAACCTTTGGCAAAGCCAAACACCCCCCCGCGCGCCCCACCCTCGTACGTTTGGCTGATAAGTGTCGACGTGCCTTTCACCAACGCACTGCCCACATGCGTCGACGCACGAAAGAGACCCCGACCCAACGTTCCACCCCGAGTCGATGAGTATCGCTGGAAACAGTCGGTCGTGAGGACCTTGTGTCCGGCGGCACCCATCGCTCCAAACGACTTTGGGGGTGCTGTCATACCTACGCCGGGATGGTCAGCATACCAATGAAGGGACGAACGTACCCACCTGAGGAACTATCATAGGTCATGATGGACGATGCTAAGTCGACAGGGGAAGGGGGGGATACATCGGTCGACACCATGGGGTTGAACGATGGAGACGAGTCGCCGCCAGTGTTTGGTATGACTCCAGTTGACGCATCTGGTTTGTAAAAGACGATGTACGCGACATTGTCCACGCGCAGCTTGAGCACTTCACCTGCGAGGAACGTGATGCCGCTGTCGATGAGACTTGCGCGGTCTTGTGTCGGGTCGTTCAAACGAAACGCAGTGTCCATCATTTCTTCGTGGATAGGCGGGGGTTTGAACATGCCTGGTTTCTCAGGCGTCCCGATGTCAGAGCACTCATCGTAGTCTCCAAGATCTGAAAAGCTACTCGACTTCTTGCGACCACTGAGCATGTATGGACTCGGTATCGACATCCCAGTTCCAGGAAGCAGTGTCGGGGTGGAGATGGGCGTCGATGACTCTTCATGCACATTCGAGATTAGAGGTACGCCAACATGCGTGCATGAAGTTGTACCTGTGGACGTGGTGCTGATGGTCATGGACTTGGGCGGCATGCACACCGACATCCTTCGCGACTCTTAAAATCTCTCTTGTCGTTCCAACGCCACCTTGGACTGCTTGAATCTCCGTTGAATGTTATCCGGACGGCGGGGCCTCATACAATTCCCAAGATACTTTCCGGAGAAAGAGGTACTTCCGGTATTTTCCCCCTTGGATCCTCGCTGTGATGCCGATAACTACTGAGAGCGGGAGTCTGTTCCACAGAAGCGCACCACCGCTATATGCACACCTGATAGTTGATCGCTCAGGTCTCTCATGGATGATGCTATCAAGCATTATCAAAGGGTATCGTTCTCCAATCCCAGTAGCTTTGCATGCAGGGCTTACCATGGCCCAACCACGAGCCGAAATCAATCCACAATAACGTTAAGTCTCCATTCATTCTACCGCTAATGTTCGAGGTATGGCGTTGGACATGTTGGTATGCTGTGGAAGGTGCAATTGTTCCAGGAATGGTACGCTATGGAAGGTTGTGGCTCCATAGATCTTGGCGAAAATAGACCACTGGGGTACCAAGGGGTGGATTTGGCTCCCTCCATATCCCCTCTTGCCATGTCCCCAAGCTCTCGTTTCGCAGCAACAGTAGCCCTGCTTGCAGCATTGTGTCCCCGTCTTGGTGCCGACGCCACGACTGCAGTCCAGAACAAGCGGTACTGCGAAATCCTCTTTGTTACTTCAATCAACGGCTCCTTTGTCGCCGATGTGTACAACACTTTCGGGCACAACGATTGCCCTGTGGCGCTGTGGAATGCCATTACACCAGAGAACGCCAAGAGCGACCCCAAGACCGTCGCGGTCGTCCTCAATGGACCTCGATACTGGAAAATGGACGAGTTCGGACCATTGACCTCGCCCATTGTCAAGGAGAGCGTCGTCAAGTTCGTCGGCGGCCTTAACATGTCCTTGGTCGGCCGCGTCATCATTCCCATGCCGTCTTTGGCCCCGCCGAGCTATTCGATGTCGACGGTCACGCGGAATGCCGATTGGATTTGGCGAGCAGGCACCATGGGGTACTTCCTCACCAACACCACGTCTGGCGACAGCTTTATCATGCAATCAAACAAGGCCACGTCCAGCGAAACCAGCTCGTTGCAGTCGCTTGAGTCACGATTCAAGACTCTGCCATCGACGTGGACGTTCACGGCAATGCGATTGTCCGAGGACTTGAACGTCACAACTCCATCACTCGTGGGCGGTGCTGCAACCTTTGGCATTGTCATCCAAGACGAGTTCCAAAACACCTACTCGTACACGAAAGACGTCGCCGCACTCGCCGCTCGTGCTGGCCTCTTAACTGTGCCGTCAACAGCGACGTCGGCGGAGGCCTTATCCATGACTGGCTCCCTCGTCATGCTCGTCCTGCCCATCTTGGTATTTTTGCAATTGGTGTATTAGTAGTACTAGTAGTACTACTAGTAGTATGAATAATAATACTGGTAATAAACATGTTTGAAACAATCTGATCTTCGCGAAGGCCCTTCTCCATCGTGATTGGCCATGATTATGTCCAATCAATCGCCGTATTGTGCAACTTGACCACATCAGTGGTTTTTCATCTCATTACCATGCTCGCCCGACTGGTGCGCTCGTCGCGTGGCCGCCGCGGCGCCATGAACTTCAGCGCTACGCCATTCGTGCCGCCGCACGACAAACCACACGCTCGATCCATCATCGTTGAAACCGTTCTGGACGAGGACGACGACGAAGAAGATATGGAGGACATGGTCGTGATCGGCCCCGCGGGTGTCGAATGGGGCGGCCCCCAGCGCGGTGGCAAGTACAAGGAACCCACGCGGTTTGGCGACTGGGAAAAGAAAGGTCGGTGTTGTGACTTTTAAACTTAATACGAACCCAAAACACGTTCTAATCGTCGTCGTCACTGTCTCGTCCTTCGTCATCTTCACCGCCACCATCATCACCACCATCGTCGTCATCATCACTACCCTCTTCGTCATCCTCGTCTTCATCGGCGTCATCACCTCCGTCGTATTCGTCTTGCACGTCGAGCGCGTCCGCAGCAGTAAAGCCACCATCGTCGGCGATGAGACCACTATCCCACGTAGAGTCTAGATTGCCGTCATTCCAGTCGTTCGTAGCGTAGTCGTTCTCGGTCCAGTCTCCATATGCCACCGCCTCTCCACCTTCATTGTTCCACATGTTGCCATCATCGCCATAACCGCCACCTCCGTCAACGACGTCATTCGGCATGGGCTCTTCGTACGGACCTGTGTAGTCCATGTAGTCCTGCACTCGCGTGGCCGCATACGCCGGTCCGAAAAAGTACGCGCCAGGTCCCATCCATTCGAACGACCGCCGATCCTGCAGCTGAAAGTCGTCTTCGCATCCGAGCAAGTCGACCATTTCGTCGCCTCCTACTGACCCGTTCACAGCACTAGCAGCATCGTCGTAGGCCACACAAAACAGTCCCGAGGTGTCATCAAACCACCGGATTTTGCCGGTTTTCCACGCAAACGTGGCCACATCGTACCGCTGCAGCCGCACATTCACGTACAGCGCCGCCTTGGTCGCCCGTTCGGACGCCACGTAGTTGTCGTACATCAGCCAACATTCGTGATTGAACAGCTGCAAGTGGCCCACTTCCACATCGTCCAGCACACTCCACTCCTTGTCGCCATCCAAGTACTCGATCTTGTGCTTGCGTTTGGACGTGCAGTACTTGACGATCCGCCCTTGAAACCACGTGGCTTCGAACGGCCAGTACACGCGCACCCCGAGGCCTACCATGGACTTGGCGATCGCATAGCAATTCGGTCGTACAATTTGCCGCTGGTCCCGCGACGGGGAGAACCACCACGGCTGGCCGTTCGTGCCAGGATACGCGTACCAGTCGTCTTCGCTGTCGGCCTCGGACGCCGAGTCCATGTCGTGCTTTCGACGGTCCTTTTGCAGCATCGCCTGCAGAGAACATGAAAACGCATAGTTTGTGGGATTGTACTTGAGCGCATAGTATGTATATACATCAGCATCAGCTCTTGAGGCTTGGCAGACAAAGAACTGTACCTCCGTTTTGGCTTCAGCATCGGCGGCTTCGGCGAGCAACTGCAGCTTGATTTGAGCCACCAACGACTGGTACGCGACCGTGTTGGCCCGCGGAGCCAGACACCTCCGCCACCACCGCTGCAGCCGCTTCGCCGCTGCCGTCTGAGCCATCCATTGCATTCGTCGAACGAGCGCTTTCTTTCGCCCCAGCCAGCCACGACCCACGCGCTGCACGGCGGTGGCCCCTGCGTGTCGCTTGGCAACTCGCTCGGCATGGGCAACGCGGGCGGCGTCGATCGTGCGTCGGGCGGCATGGCGCCGCCAGTTGGACTGAAGTCTCACCGCGACTCGAACTTGATGGCGCTTCCACGCCTTGTGCTCCTCCATGGCTCGTCGAAGCACGGCGGTTTGAGCTCTGGCGGCGCGGCTGCGATAGAGTCGCTGGAGTTTTGATGCGGCGTCGTGACACTGCCGTCGTCGCAGCGAGTTAACGTGGGTGATTTCCACCAGTCGGCACCGGTTCAGGCGAGCGCGGTACGAGCGCTGGACCATGACAGCGCATCGGACACGCCGCTGCTCCGCCACGCGAACTCGCATCCGATGTAGAGCTTGGTTGACCATGGTCGTACCGTGACGCACAAAGTGGCCGCGATATCGGGTCTGGATTTTCGTCGCGGCAACGTTGCCCACCTACTCGTACATAGTCGTCAGTGAGAGTCGAATTGTACGTGCATTGGGGTACATGGAGGCGAAACATGTTGTTGGCGTCTCGGTCTAGTCGAGCTCGCACGAGAAACCCGCGGACGAGGGCTTGGATGGTAGTGGCGCTGCGTCGGGCAACTGACGTGGCAAATGCGCGGCGATTGACTTCGCGGACAAGCCTGAGCATCATGTACCATTGCTTGAGTCGCTTGGCAGCAGGCAATTCGAGCTGAATGCGACGCCACGACGCTGCCTGGATCCGGCCGAGGTGGCCGCGGTACCATGCTTGCAATCGGATGGCGGCGGAATGGGCGATGGTTTTCTGATGCGTGGCGAACTTCAAGTTGGTCGCGTTTGCAAGAGGCTCCAAGCCTCGGAAATGAGTGGCCGAGGTCACGTACGGCAGGTGGTCGGCCAGCGTGCGAATGCCGTTGTCTGTGATTTGTTGACACCCGTTGACGTTGAGGAGCTGCAGCGCCGGCAGATTGGTCGCGACAACGCAAAGCACTTCTTCGGTCAGCAGATTACATCCTTGAACATCGATGGCCTGCAACTGTGTGGCGCCTAGCACGAGGGTAGTCATGCCAGTCGTGGTGATGCGCCCACAACCACACAAGTTGATTGATCGAAGGCGATGACAGTGCGCACCAATGGCGGCAAGACTCCGATCTGTGACCTAGTACCAACAATATCACGGCCAGAAGAAGGTTATTTGATTACCTGGACACAACGTTTGAGGTGCAGCACTCGTAGCGCCATGCACCCCGCCACAAACTTGACCATCCCGGCGTCAGTAATATTGATAAGGCCTTCGAAGCTGACAAACTGCAGTGCGCCACACCCGATCCCCAGCGCCGCCAAGCCCCGATCCCCCACGAGGGGGGAGTGCGCCAAGTTGAGTGACTTGAGGTTGGCGCATTGTGTGAGGCCACCTTGTACGCCAAGCGTACCAGCGAGCCAGCACAAGGCTGCGGATGCAGTTAGGGGTAGTAATACTAACCAAACGGAGGTGTCGTACCTTCGTCATTGACGAGGTTGCAGTGGGCGAGATTGCACTTTTCAAGCGTGTGGTTGCAACACGGCATGAAATCCCGAAGGATGTCGCTCGAAAGGGTGGCGCAGGACGAGAAGTCCAATTCGCGCAAGTCTTCGAGCCTTGTGACTAGCACTTTGAGCACGTCGCGCTTGACGATCGATGCCGAGTAGTCTAGCGATTTGAGATGGGGGCCAATGGCGTGGACAAGTGAACGCATGCCCACCTACGAATGGGTCGATGTTGTTGAACCCATCGATCCATCGACGACAACAAAGCGACGTACAGCTGAAAACGCATTGCACCCTGCTATTCGAAGATGGGAGATCGTGAGCTTTCTCTGCATGATGGCTATGGCCAGTTCCACGAGGACATGGTCCGTCACCAGTGCCGCGTGCGGGCGCAGGTCCAACGTGGCTGGAAGTTGATGCATGAGGATGGCGTCCACGTCATCGTTGGACTGAACACATCGGACAGTAGTTTGGTTGTTGTGATGACGTTTTGGAAGAACGGGGGATGCGACCGCCGCACGGACTTTTCCGAGCTCAATTTTCGCCTTTCCTTGCTTCATGTGGCATGTTTTATCCTTGCGATTCAATACGTAACGGGACAAATCAGTTACAATATTCCCGTTACACCAAAAGGCCACTCAAAAATTAGCAACGAAATTCCATACTAACGTTATGCAGTACGAATTTGTTATAAGTCTGGCAACGCATCGTCGGCAAAGTCAAACTCGTCGTCATCGTCGTCGCCGTCGTTGGCAGCAGATCCGCCACCCAACGCCATCGCGATGCGCGCTTCAAGAGACATTTCCGCGTCGTCAGTGGTATTGCCCTCGTTATCTGCGACATCGTCGTCGACTTCTTCACCTTCCTCGTCGTCCGCGGCGCCTTGCGTGTCGAACGGGTGTGGCCATCCTTCCGGTGGTGTCCAAGAACTCACTTCCGTGACATTGTTGAACCAGTAATGATGGTTCGAGCCTTCGTCAAATCCTTGTTCCCAATCCCCAAACGTCAATGCTTCCTCGTCGCCTTCATCTTCTTCGTCCGCTTCTGCTTTCATGTCGTCCCCGTCGTCGTCTACTGCTTTGTCGTCACCCCCCGCAACGTCGTCAGCTGCTTCGACTTCGTTTTCATCCAACCCATCGTCGTGTGCTGCTGCTAGGGTTGAGTCAACAGGAACGACGGCGTTAAGATCATCGTCGTCGTGACCGCCGCCATCCAACGTCTCGTTCGCAGTTGTACCGTCAGGCACTGCTTGAGTTGTTGAGGCAGCGGGCAAGTCTTCCAAAAAAACGTCGTCGGCGTCAAATGGGTCATCATGTAGAGGAGTTGGCGACGTGAGCTTGTCCACTTCTGGTATCGGTATAGTTTCGGCTATTACTGCCAAGTCAAATTCAAGCGACGAATCATCTTGTGACACTTGAGCAGCAGGACTGGCGCCATTCAGTGTTGTTGGAGCTTCTGGATAAAGGGATGATGTTGCGGATTCGTCCGTCGATGCGAGGACATTTGCAGCATCCGCTAGGAAGTCGTCGTCGTTGCCACTATTCAAATCAAAGGGGCTGTCGTCTTCAAGGTCGAGTGTGTCATTTTGGGTCACAGTTGACGGCACCACTGGATTGTGCACAGGTGACAGCAGATCGAGCGACGTCCCTGATACTGTTGCAGCAGCTAAAGGGTGTTGTGGAGGAACAATAGGCGCAACTTCCAGTTTGGGAGGCTGCACCACCGTCAAAGGTGTCAATGGCAACAGGTGACGGAGCTGGCCTGACCGAATGGACGCACACATCGCGCGAAGTTGTGTCGACCCCAGACCGGTCGCTGTGGTCGCAACATGGTGCACGAGCTGTTTGAGTGTTTGCTTGAGTAGATTGAGTTCGGCCAAAAGCGCCAGGAGCGGCAATGGCTGCGTCGACGATTCGACGGTGGCAGTGTCAAGAACGGCTTGGATCGATGGGGAAACCACCAGGTCCGCAAAAATATCCAACGATTCCTACGCAATCGATGAGGACCTGACTTGGTACGCAATTGAAACGCGAATGCGTCCAACCATACCAAGTTGGCTGTGTACGCTGTAAATGTGGTCATATCTCCGCTGCTGCGTTCGCACAGCCCCAAGAGAATGTCCAATGCGGTGCTCGCAGTCGCATGATCTTCAGTGACCAACGTGATGAATTCGTTGAGGCGAATCTGGGCCAAGAACGAATCGGTGGACGTGACGATCAGAGGTCCGGGCTTGACCGAGGATTCGTACAGTGTTTTGGTTGGTGAAGCAGTCCATTTTGACGTAGGGTCGAGTACGGGCAAGTCCACGAGTTGGGTTTCTGCCAGCACGAGTTTTACGGGGGACGTAGCCACGGCGTGTCGAAGTTGGTCCTCTATGAAAAATCTATTTCAGTCTAGTTGGAGTCGCAAGCCGGTCACGCTGCAACGCGAGGGTACCTCGTCGTTTGAGCCGTTTGTACAGGGCGTTGGCAGGTTTTTTCTTCTTTTTGGCTTTGTCGCGGGCCTTCTTGTGTTCTGCGTGGTTATACAGCGAGGCTTTTGTCGGCTGGAGAAAGTTTTTCGTCAATGGCACGGCAGCCACGTTGATTTTCACTTGCGATGTGGGACGGGTCGGTCGAGGGGGATGGCAGAGGACGCCTGGCGGCGGTCCATTGCAAGCGGCCGAGACTTGCCGTGGCGTACTGAGTGCAATGGCCACTTTTTGCTGGCTGGAAAATGAAACAGTGGGTTTGGAAGAAGTCGCAGCAGCAGCAGCAGCAGCAGTGGCGGCGGGGGGAGGTTTCACTGGTGGAGTTTTCCGAGCAGCGACGTGGTGGGGCAGTGCTTTGCTGCGCTGTTCGTCCTTGGACTTTTGATGGGTACGCGACACCTTTGGAACAGGAGACGGCGGGGCGTCCTATGATCGATCAGGTCATGTCGAACGATGATAAAGCAAACAACATCCTAATGCACGTACATGAGGTGGATCGCACACGAGCCCCAGCAAGTCGCACGCTGAATCGACCCACGGCCGAGGCAGTTCCAGAAACTCAAACATCGACGTGCTGGAGGTGGTTGAAACTCCTTCGGGTGGGTGTTGTTTCTTCTTGTCCTTGATAATAAGTGAAGCCAAGTGGATACATCCGAGGGACCGCAAGGTTGGGATGATGTTTAGAATGTGCGCGCTGTTTGCTCGATGTTTGCCCTGGCTCACGACGGGGTTTTCGTCAATGTTCAAGTGCGTCAAGTTCTACAAACGACAGTATCAGCATCCCATGGTGACAGTATTTTTACAGCTTATTACTGTAACGTTACCTTGTTCATCGACAGGAGCCGGAGCGATTGTGGTACAATGATCGCATTGTACGATAGGTTCAAGATCTAATCAATTGCTCTTATCGGGGGAATGTGCCATACTGTACACAGAACGTACCTCTAATTGCTCGAGGCACTCGAGGTTCTTGGCACATCGAATGAAGTTGCCTTCAAAACTCAAAGCTCGTAGCTTGGTCAAGTGTTCAATTCCGCAGATAGATTTGAAGTGATTCTTCGACAAGTCCAGGACCTATACGTTTCGTCCTCCTTATTAAACCTATACTCATATAGTATCGAGCTAGCAGGACTTTCTATTCCCATACAGTACCTCGACGTTGCGAATGCCCACCATGTTTGACGCGGCCAGTTTTGTGAGTTGGTTGTTGGACAAATCCAACACCCGTAGGGCCCGCATACATTCCATCTACCCCAATGTTAAGAGAATATCGGGTCGGCGGTGTCACTATTTTAATATGTTCTTACATCTTTCAAGAACGCGACGGATTCCAACAAGTTGTTGGACAACACGACCGCCACCACATTGACAAAATCAATGGCCTCAAACGCCCGGGACAACGACAAGCCTGTTCGAATGTCGTTGTGCTGCAGTTTGGCCACAGTTCTACAAATCCAATCAACTACCAAGCACGAAAGAGGTGGTGCGAGATATGTACCGCCTCTGTTGCTGGACCACCACGTCGTTCACAAGGCACACTTCAGGCAACGTCGTCTCGACCACCTCAGGCACTGCGCTCGCATCTGCACCCGACGGTACTTCTGTCGCAATTGGGAGCCCTTTGTCTTCGTCGTAGAGAATGGTATCTGCGTAATCATCCAAAGCCGTAGTTTCTGGTTTCTTTGGTGACGGATCTTGATAGCCCTCGTCGAATGATGATGCAGCAGCGTAGTCTTGATCGGCTTCGCCGTCGTCAGCCTGTTCGACGTTCAGGTCGTCTGAAACAGGTGTGTCTACTGTCCCGCCTTCTTCGACTTCAATATGCACATGGAAGCCATCGCGATCGTCGTCGCTCGCAGCATTTTCGTCGCCTCCCACCTCCACGTCATTGTCTTCAAACGGAATGCACGGACGGTCGTCCACCAACGGCTCTTCGTGCAAAACTATTGCATTCTCAATAGGTGCAGCAATGGGTTCCCCATTGGTTTTTCCCACGACGGGCTCTTCATGCAACAACGACTTCAAATCGGGCGAGTTTCGGCGTGGATACTCTGGACTTGATGCAGCAGACGACAGCTCGTCCTCGTGATTCGCCGGTTTGGAATACGGGGACGCAGGGGGTCGACTACCCCCGACACGTGAATCCACGACGAACAAACCCAAGGGCTTCACGAGTTCGGCGTGTCGAATCTGAACCAACGAGTCCCACGGAGGCATGCCCGCAGTGTCTCTCTTGGGCGGCGATTTGGCATACTTGGCCAGGAGCAGGTTCTCAAGACACGAACGGGCGTTGAACCCGCCATCGTTTTGCCACGTCATGGCGCTGAGCTGGTCGGAAAAGTACGTCAGGTCCTTCTTCGTGGGCTCGTCGCCCCCTCCGCAAAGTTTGAGCGCGACGCGAAGTTCACCTTCGTCCACCCCCCCAGATGCGTTGTAGTCGATTTGAACGAGGACGGCTTGGATTTCCAGGCGTTTGTCTTCCCGGAGCAATACCGCAGAGTACTACACGCCTGGTGTCAAGCACAGGACGCTGCAAGGTAGACGTACCTGTCGAATGTGCTGCGACAACTCGTCCGACACGTTGTTGCCTTTGAGCTGCACACACGTGAGCAAGCGAGTGTGGCCGGGAAGCTGCGATAAACGTTAAATTTACAGGAAAGCTACTAGCACTGCCGGAGACAATCGTACCTTGTCGTGGGAAAGGGGTGGTGATGACGACGGCAGAAGGGATCCCGGAGATCCCTTTACCAGGACCAACTGGTGGCGCATGAGTTCCAATATCCCACGCACTCCCTAAACTAGGTGAGAAAGTGCATGCACCAAACGACTACTCGTGTGCGTACTCTGTCTGAGATGGAATTGTCGCGCAAGTCCAACGTGGACACGAGTGGCATTTCCAGCAAGGTTTCCACTAGCGCGAGCAGTTGATCGTCGGTGATGTTTTCTTCACGAAAATCCATCGTCGTGATGTCTTTCTGTGTCGAGATGGCTCTGTATATCATCTGCAACAGAATCGTGGAGCACATTAGTATACCGTTATCGTCCATGCGTACGTTTCATTGGCGTACCTTATCGATGCAAGGAGGTGGCGTCACATGATGTCGTGCCGCGGCCGCGAGGTATGTATCGCGGAACCTACAATCGCCTCTTGGCCTGCATTTTGTCGAGAAAGGACTTACTTTTGAAGGTCATAGACGGATTGAGGGCGAAGGTCCAACCCCTTCTTCTTCCTGAAGAGCTTTCCCAGTTTACTGATGCGCGATATATCCATCGCCACTCCGCAAAGCTGCCGCTACGGTCGATGCGTTCGGAGTTTCGAATAGCCGCAGGCGAAACAGCGCGACGGTTTCGGAAAGGGGGCATCTGGCGCCTTCAGTGTTCCATCATGAGCTCATCATTATGTCCTTGCATTTACGTTCGCAAAGATGCATGCCTGCGGGGGTTTCGGCGATGATGCATCCACTGCACGCTCGATGGACGCGACCGCGGTGGTTCGTGAGGGTCGAATTTGAATTTGGCGCAAGTTCACATACACTCTTGATTCTAAATCCATTTTAAACTAGAAATAAAAAACACATGAAGAATCAAAAAACATGTCAATGAATATTAACATTTTATTTGTAAATTGATTCGATTGTCATTCTTTGTAATTTTTTTCAAACCAACGATTTTCAACAACCACAGCGATGGGGATTGCTATCATAGAGGAAGCCGGCGACGATCCGAAGCTGGCGCAGTGCCTCGCGATCCTTGCAGGCAAGTCAGATGAACACAAGTTCGCAGGTCTCTTGATGGTCACGAAGCATCTTCAGACCGAGGATGAGTCGGCACTGCAGCGCATTCGGAAGGCGGTCATGGATACCGCAGGCATATCGTTCTTTGTGAGGTTGCTCCATACGCAAGGCGGTGGCGATGGGGATAATGCTGCCGCTGATGGGGATGGAGATATCTCCCCTTTTCAAGCATTGGCCCTCAATTTGATCTCAAGGTACTATGTCAATCAACCTACAATCAACACTTACCTCGCTATCTCACATAGCTTTTGTCAAGACATATCATTGGCGCGTGAATTCGCCACGACGGCCGTTGTCTCTGTGGTGCTCGACGTCCTTCCTACAGCCGTATCTACCACCAACACAGTCGTTCTGCAAGATTGCGTCCAAATCATCCATGGACTGTTGTCATTCGACGTACGTGTACCTGGCTGGACCTGCATACACGATTCATGCAACTCCTTGACACATCAGTCCCACCATCCCCGTAGGTTCTGACAACACATTCAACATGGAAAGACATCGTTGTGCGGGAGATTCATCGCTGCAGCGTGTCGACTCCCGTCCAAAACACATCACTCACCGTGCTGCTCTCATTACTACAAGCTTCTCCCACCGTCTCAGACAACGAGCTGGCCATCCTGTGCGACTCCTTTGCAGCCATTTCCACACCTTCGAGTGCCAAATCCGTCTTACAGGACTTCTTTCTCGGCACATTGGGCTCGTACGATCGTACCCTTGTCCATTCCAACGTCAAGTCCCTTGCTCGCGGTCTCTTTGGCGCATGGCCGTCGCATGTCCACGACGATGTCACGCGGCGCGACTCATCGCTGCAGCTATTGGCGCTGTTGTTGTCCTCGTGTGGCAGCAGTGCCTGGCTATTTCAAAGTGACCAGCCTTGGGTCCACATCGCTCTCCAACTAGCCGCCATCGAAGCGAAGCTTCTATTGGACGACGCCGAGAGCGTTTTGATCGATCACGTGGTGACCCCAACTCCCGTCGCCGCTGACGACATCGTGTTGAAGCGCGTATGCCGCCTCCTTCCAGCGTCGTACGGTATTCTCGAGGCCGTCCTGGGCGGTCTCATGGTGGACGCCAACACCGCTGCGCTGTCGCACACGACGCTGCTGCAGCTCAAAGACAGCCTTGGCCAAGTGTTCACGGTCGTGATCGAGTTTCTCACGACATGTCGGGATGCCCTGGCCAGTTCCAACTTGACTTTTCCCAGGAACGATCTCGACCCGATTGTCGTTGCCACTATCCGCGTGCTGGGCGCTTGGATGGCAGAAGAAACGGACCTCTTGGCCGACCAACTGGTCGAGTTGGTTCCATTCCTCGTCACGTTCACTCCGACCTCCCTTCCCCCCATCCCGTCCACCGACGAGCAGCCGTGGGACTCGGACGACGAGGCCGACGACCTGTCTACGGCTCCAGACCCGACGGATGTGGTGCCATTTTTGCTGCCAGGATTGCTCCAGCTAACCGCCTTGAACGCCGGGGCGGCAGCCGTGGCCACCAACGACGCCGTGCTGCAGCGGATCATGCAATTCACTGGGGTGGTGTGTAACCGGATGATCGCGGCTGGCAACGAAGGTGTTGGCTCGCTCACCATGTGTATGGGCATTTACCTCAACGTCTTGTTGTTGGCGTCCCCGACTCCTGCGAGCCGTCGGTTGTTGGTCAAAGCCCTACCAGTGTGGCAATCGCTAGCTGTGCTCACGTGGCGCCACGTCATAGCGTTGGACCCCGACATGGACGACCAGAACGACCACCCGTCCGACATGTACCTGCTGCTATTGCACATTGCGATCGTGGTTGCCCTGGTCCAGCCATCGGCGATGACATCAACGACCCAACTGGCGGCGTGCACCAAATGGATTCAACAGCACGCCCCCTCGATGGCATGTGAAGATGCATACGATTTGCACATGTTGGCATTGCGAGTACTGAAGTAAACAACAAGCTCAAGTGGGAAAGCTACCTAGTATGCTGGATAAATTAATAATCGAGACTATGTGGGAAGAGAGAGCGCAGTGGAGTGGAATGAGCAAAGCATGATGGAACCGAACGACCGCTAGACGGACGACGCAATGATCTCTGGCGGCGGCGACGTGGCCAGCCGCGCCCGTTTGTGGTTGTTGCTGCTGTTGGCAACTTCGCGACATCGGCGCCGAGTCAGCGGTGGCGCCGGAGTCTGTTGCATGAGCGGTACCTGCGCAAGATGACTACGGTGGTGCCTAGTCGACAGGCGTGGCGTGGGCAAACAATCATGTAATGGGCTGTCCAACGAGTCGTATGAGTCGAGGTCGCCCACATGTCCTTGCTGGAGGATGCGCGCGTTCATGACAGGCGGCATCATCGTGGAAAGTCCGCTGCAGTAAGCCGCGGTGGTCGTAGTCGCGGACGAAGACGTGAGAGTCGAATTGGATGTTGTGGGCGGGTTACGCCGAACACGTGCGTTTACGACAGCTCGAATAACTTGGTTGCTAGCGGGAAGTTCCAGCAGTTGGGCGGTGGGCATGTTTGCCTGAGACTGCTGAAGGATGATGGTTGTGTTGATCGCGTACACGCTGTAATTGCTAAATGCGTCGGTGGGCAATTGGTGCCGACATGTGGGGCACGTGCTGTGCAGCTTCAACCACGGGTCGATGCACGACAGGTGAAACTTGTGGCGGCACCCTGGCAGTTCCACGCAGTCGTTGTCAAAGCTGTCCATGCACACGACACACGCGTCGCCATTGGTGACTGGCACCACGCTGTCCTTGAGCGCATCAACGCATGCCGCAGACGCAGGCGAGACACTGTTCAATTGGGGCATGATGTATCGGATGATGCTTTGCACCCACCGCGGGCTCTTGAATAGCCGCAGCGCATCCTTGATGTGTGAGTTGGGTGGCGCTGCATACCGCACGTTCACTCGAATAGCCAAGTCCATCTATGCTGCTGCTCTTCGTCTGCCTCCTGGTTTCCTCAACACAGCGCTCCCGACGCGGCAAAATGGGAAATGCCATTTGACGTCGTCCGTTTTTGCTGTGCGGGCGACGGTGTGGGGGTTCGTTTTTTAACTTCCGCCATGTTCATTATTCTTATACTTGGGGTTTGTATGTAGAGGGTGTTTCTCCCGAGATAGGCACCGCCGCTTGGTTCTAAAAAAAATCCGAAAAAAAAAACGACAACCTTGTACCAGTGTATATTTAGAGGCGGCCAAAGGTACAAAAAGGTTTTGTCAATGGGACCAGGTCAACTTATCAGCCAATCACAGTGCGTTTGATTCCAACCACCCCCTGTGATTGGCTCAATAATGGCGGCTTTGTTTTTTTTTTCACTCACGTTTGCCCCGTCGCTTGGCCCTGTCCCACAACTTCAACCTGACCATTTGAAATCCCCCGAAGGTTAAGAACCAACATGTCGGCGCCTAATTATAGCCAACCACCTCACTTTTCATTGATGGATTTCACTCGATATCGAAGGACTCAACGGCACCGCCAGGACTTCTTCTCATCCAGGCATCGAAGGAGAGAGGTTGTGAAAATGGTTGCTCATTGTCGTGTTAACAGGAAGTCGGGGGTCGGGTTGTTGCCGCCACAGCTTGCCGCAACTCTACCAGACCATTAGGTGACACATGTCACGGAACTGTACTGTACCGGCTAAAAGGTCGTGAAAATTGACAAGCTGTTGCATGACAATCTCGTGCGACCGTGTTATACGCCCCTGCACCCTCCCCATGTCCTTCTGCACCTTCACCATCTACTATGTGTGTAAAAGAAGCCCTCCTCATCCCGTTTGTGTATGCACCTGGGTGCCAGCGCCAATGTGATGGGCGTGTACGGCTGTCGACAGCTTGCCCATCTTGTGCTCGGCGTCCCCAATTCGCGCTTGCAACGCCAAAAGTAAATCCTTTGTTGCTGCATGTCTCCCGTCGTCAATAATGGTTGCCTGAACACCCCCATCCCCCATCACCTCTATGTACGTTATTAGAAAGATGCATAATACCTCCTGGGAAGAGTTGGAGGTGGTTGCCGCCCACGTATTGGCTGCCAATTTGAGCGATGCAATGTCGGCTTCCCAGGTCTGACGCATACATTCCAAGCGATGGGCCACTTCCACCGGCCACTTGGTCGTGGCCTAATCGTTGTGAAGTTGACAAGTTGCCAAAAATCGCAGATCAACCTGGGCGAGCTTGTCGTGCATTTCTTGCAGTTCCACCAGCACAAGCTCGTGCTTTTGGTGATGCGCCTTAGCCATTTCTCGTACACGATTCGAGATCGCTTCAAACTGGATGCGGTCGGCACTGCGTTGGGTTCCCATGTCGTGCATCCTATGATACGCAACCCACCGGCATAATCATATCATCCACAACTCGTCAATGGGCAACTATCTGTACATGGATTCCATTTCCAAATGCAATTGCTCCAGTCGTTGACTGGAACCGTGATTGTTGTTCGTGTGGTGGTGATGCTGGGGGTTCAAGTCGTTGGAGTGGGGAGCTGACGTGTCAAAGCAAGTTCGAGCCGCAAGCGATGGGGGGAGACACAGCCGTAGTTTGAGGTGCTCCTTGTCCAAGGCAAACAATCGCGAGTCGAGGGCCCCAATCTTCATATCCAAATCGTGGAGCGACTAGAGATCAATTATTGAGGTATTGGTTGAAAAAAACGAGGGGCGTACATGGGAGGTGAGCTGCGAGTCTTTGTGGCTTTGGTCTCGAATGTTGTCCAAGAGAGACTGGGTTTGACTCAACTTGGCATTCGCTGCGTTGCGCAACGAGTCCATCTAGGTTTGTTGAAAATTTTGCGTCCATTCTCGTCGTTTCCACCCTCGTACCTCGCCACGAATGATAGCTAACTGCTCCTTCATCGAATCGACTTCGATCTTGACGTTGTCCACTGTCATGACCACGGCCTACACACGTCCCCCTTTGTCCGATTTTCATGACGAGAAAACGAAGCAACAAGTTAGCCAACCTCATGATCCAGTCGCATTTCGTGCTGCGCGCGTTCCAGCTTCGCGTCCATTGCCTTGTGAAGTTTGACTTGCATGTCGAGTTGATGCTGCCTCAAAACTTCGACCTGCTGTTGCAAGCTGAGAAACGTGTCTTGGGACACGGCTTCGAGGTCGAGTTGCTGGGTATTTTCGAACTCCAGTACCTAATTGACACTGGGGTAACCACGCATGGATGCCCAAAACCCAGTTGTTTCATGAACAGAATATATCCTCCCAACGTACTTGCACGGCGTGGGCCAACGCGTTTACTTTGGGCACAAGGTCCACGGCCAGCGTGTGCAGATTCGCGCTCGTTTCTTTCACTTGACGCTCGGCGACTTCCCTGCGCTTGCGCTCTTGAAGCAAGTTGTTGCTTCCCCCTAAATAATGGCTCGCTTTCGGTTGCTTGGGTTTGGCCGTAGTCGACATCTTCAACGGGTACGGCGGCGGTGGCGGCATCGTGAAAGTGATTATTTTCTGATCTCCAAGTTTGAGCGTTTCAGAAAATTCCTGTATACTTCGAATCGACACCCCAATGCCATTAGCATGCCATTATTGATTGTTGAAAAATTAGACGTAAAGCTAGTAGTAGTTACTTGCAATTGTAGATCCCATCACGGACTGACGGTCGATTCCTCGGCTCGAAATCAATGCATTCGAGCGCCAAGTCATTGAGTAAACCCGGCATGTTTGAGAACGTCGGATGAATGATCCCAGACACCACCACGACCATGATGGCGGTGTCGATGAGCAGCCAGTAGTCGCGGTAGTTGGTCCGATCGCAGTACGGCAGCTGGTGGGTCGAAAACTCGGGACAAAAACATACCGTACGAAAGATGTCGGCAGCGACTGAGTAGTGGTTGTACTCCAGAATCAATGGGGCCATCCATCGATACATGCAGACTCCCAAAGTCATCGTATCTGTGCTGTGTTCTGTGTACCATCCCAATGTCTATCACCTTTGTGCCCTTGGTCGAGGCGAGAAGGATGTTTAGAGACTTCAAATCGCGGTGGATGATCAAGAACGAAAGAATGAATACACCAATCCTTCCACGGTGCTGTAGATGCATGTCAGCTTGTCCTGCCACTGAAAATCCCTTGGGTTTTGATGGCCCAAGTAGTCGCGCAGGCCGCCCAGGTCCATACACAACTCCAACACATACGCCAAATCGATGGGTTTACCCCATGACGCGCCCACAAACTCGACAATATACGGCGATGAGAACCCCGCCATGAACGTAATTCGTCCACGAAGGCTTGCACTTCGCGAACCGTCGCCCGCCCCGGCAGCAGCCGCCTCTTCACTGCTACCCGCCGACCTCGATAGGCATCCAGCGCGACTTCTGCAAACGCTCCAACTCCCACCACCCGTTGAGTTGCCAACTCATCCGTATCAATCAGGTACAATGAAAGGGCGTGCAAGTCAATGCTCCCATTCCCTCGGATTGCGTCGAAGGCGCAGACGACATGTCTGACAATGGCCCTTTCGTGTGGGGGGACTGCAGCATACGCCAAGGCTTCGTCAGCTGATGCCCCACCTTCTAGCCCCCTTGTTGTTGTTGTCGATAGACGCACCAAGCTACGATACTCAGAACGATCAACACCCCAATTGCAGAAACCACCACAATGAGCGGAATCCAACCTACAATCGAAAGTTAATATGAGATCCCTGTCAGGAATGTGACTGTTCGTATGTCCATCGTTATTACAAGTATTACGCGTCGTAAACTACCAGTACATGTAGAAGAAATTGAGCCATTCGTATCCGAGTCGGGAGTGTTCCTGTGGTTGGTAGCTTTGAATTCTTGAAGCCACGGGTTCATGATGATGGGACTGGACAGAGATAGGATGAATGTATTGGTTTCGCACGGAAAGATCAACGCTTGGTGGTAGGTATTCGATGGACAGGAAGTGTAGTTGGCTTCTCCGCATGTACCTGAAGCCCCACGAGGTAACGTGTGGATCGCAGGCTACTTCCACCTTTGGCTAGCGGCTTGGAGTTTGTACAGTCGCCGTTCAGGCACCACTGTGGCGTTCAATGTAACTGAAGCGAGGAGGCCGGAGTGCGCATCGCCGCTGACGAGTTCGACGGCTCCTTTGAGGGATGGACGGCAAGGCCGATCCTACCACCACTTCACCCACGACCCACGCTATGTCCCATAACACGGCTTGGCGGAGTAGGTTTGGCAGGCTCCTGAGGTGACGCTACCGCTGTACAGCAGCATAGTCACGGTATCTGGCATGGTGACGCCGTCGTAGAATACAGTATTGCTCCAGCATTAAGATTAGCTTCGAAGCGAGAGACGTAGTCGAAGCTGTCCTTCCACTTGGTCATGGTATTGGGCTTTCACTGTTATTATTTGATGTGACTCTTCGCACTGCGGTAACATCACAATTCCACGGCTAGCAATAGCAGAGACGAAAGACAAAAACACAACGTATAGTACTACTGTATTGCACCATTAACTCATGTACACTTACATAAGTTACCTACTGTAGTAATACTACCGTCAACTACAGTACCACTGTACTGTAGCGACATCTGAGATGGTTGAACTTTCGGCGCGACATCATCTCATTTCGGGTGTCGCGTACTGCAAGTCCGTCACTTGGACGTCGACGTGGTCCATGGTCATACCGATAGACGGGCCAAGAGTCCATGGGAAGAGCACTGCCGCCATACATACGTGAGGGGAAACGTCGTGGCATTTGTCAGCGCCGCCGTTGGTGTCTCACAATGAGAAATTCAGCCGTGATGAGACACTTGGATAATAGATAAGCCATCATTTAATTTATCCCTGACACATGTCAATCCAAACTGACGAGCCACGTAATCGTAAACCCTGTTACGGTGGAGGTTAATCGGGGCAATGTCTTCCACGATGCAGAAGTGCACCTCTGGCATTCAGTTGACTAATCGTGAGCTGTCCAATCGCTTTGGAGGATGCATAGTTGGTAGTACAACGATGCATGAGAAACATCAGGCGAGCCGCTCAGTGGCCACTGTTTGGTTAGTCGTGACTTCCAGAATCGAGTAGGCAAGGGGCATGGCGGCGTACAGAACGGACGGGTTTGCAGGATGCGTTGCCATCGCCGCGGCAATGCGCTCCACCATTTCTCGGAACCCACCGTGGTTTCCTCGGGTCATTTATTTCCCATGTTTGTGTAGCATAACTCCTTACCTGTGTTAGTCATAGTACCAGTAGTCACTGCCTTGGTCAGGGTCAAGCAGCCCGCAATTTGAACGTCGGCACTGCGATTTTGCCGCATAGAGTTGCAAATGCCATGGATGCACACGGCCGCCCCCTGAGAACCCTCCATCGATTTCAAGTGCTTCGAAATGGCTTTTGACGTTTCCCTGGCGACAGTGAGTTGCCGATTCGGCTTGATAGATGATGTCAGCGCCAATTGCGAAGATTGTACTGGCATTGTGGCATCTACCCCCAAATCACTTCACACTGACAGACTGTTGCTATATTTTCTTCATAAATGTACAGTACATATTTTGAGCCACAGCATGCCGTCAGACCACACGAGCTGGGGTGGCTGTACAGGGCTTTTGATTGCTCCGGTGTGGTTGTCTGCCACTACATCCGTTGGCACAGGGTCCAAGCAACCACGCACTGTATTGCCTCGTATGGTAGATGTTACAGATGTGGCAGGAACGTGCTTTTTGGTGGTAACCTCGCGCTCGAGGGGATGTGGCACCAAGATCGGGACGGCACTTCGTGCAAAACGAAGCTGGCGTGCGCACCCACAATGCCATATCGACCGACACTGAAGACCCCCGACGAGCCAAGGCGTTGGACCTCCCACAGCCCCACCATCGGATCTATCCATCGACAGATATTACAAACGCAAGACCTTATGGGCCGCTGTAGTACCTTGCATTCGACTGTTTTCTCCGCAGAGTTCACATGCATGTATAAAGCGTTGATTGAGAATACACGCAGTGCAAACACACCCGTCGCACCTTTGCGTGATGGGTTACGACGTTTTGAAGGCCATCGTAATCCCGAAACAGCCGATTTTGGTGTGTCGACCAGGCCAAATACTTGGTCTTTTGCTCTTGTAAATTGCGTTCTAGCGCGGTGGCCGCGAGGATTTTCTCTTGGTGATTGAAAGAGCTGCTGCTGACATCCGTGTCAGCCATGTCGATCAGTTCCCGGTGTTCGCGATGGACGTTCTGTGCCAACATGGCGGCCGAGTGAGCTGCCTCGACTGCTGCAATGTGTTCACGCATGAGATGGGAACCTTCAATGGTACTGTCCTTGTAGATAACGGATTTGAAATACTGCAGGCCAGGGTTAAGTCGGGATGGTGGTGGTAGCTCTTCCCAGAGTTGCAGGTGACGAGCAATCGAGTCCATGCTGAATGGAGATTGTGTGGCGACCTTCGGACGAGGCACATATCGGCTGCGGAGTTGCTGCGTGTGGGTGTTCGGTACGCTCTCAGAGCGCAATGATAGACTTTGCATTCCGTGCGAAAGGAGTCATGTTACGCAACGAGATGTAACCGCTCTCCGTTTCAAACGTCATAAATTTCGAGAAGTCCAGCGTTTTTTTTCGAGTTCCTTAATAAATGAATTTGAAATTACTTCAAGGACAGCACACTAGTTTATTTCCTTGCAGTGGTCGAAACATGACGACATCGTGGTTTGAGAGCGCTGACCTCGTCAGTCGATTCAAGGAGTTGCACTCATCTAACCCAAATGCAGGATCGCCTTCCACGCTCAGCGCCAATGCAATCCCAGCGGTGGTGAAGGCTCGCCTCGCCAAAGCTGGCCTGGCTTTCCAAACCTTGTCCCCACTGCTCCAGCAAGCTGTGTTGTGGGACATGGGGCTGATTGTGGGCGACGTCAACGGCGTGGACACACTAATGCAGGTTCTTGTGGGTGCGAACACCACAATGTCCTCGATTGCGTACACGTTTGCCGAGTTCTCGGCGTCCCCAGCAGGCAAAGGATTGGAGCAAACATCGTGTGCGTTCAATGGAGGCACGCCGTTTCTTCGGCAAAAGATCATGGCTGGGCTGGCGCTTTTGCCGTCGTTGAAGTGCGCCGTGGAGCTGGTGAGCGTCGATGGTCAGTCGGCACTCTTGGCCCAAGATGCCACCAACGCCGCTACCTTCGTCCCCGAGCCACGACTGTACAAACACCAAGACGCGACCCAAGGATGGACGATGCCGGCAATCCACTTTTTACCGCGCATTGCCCAAGGCAAGCCCATGGAAGCTCCGTGGGGCGAATGCCCTAAGAACGCCGACCACCAAGCGTTGATCATTCCTTGTGAGCCCAAGTTCTTTCGAGCAGAGTCGGCCAACACGTTCCTACCACTTCCGAGCCCAGTCATGACAGCATGGCTAGAAGAGTTTAAAGCCGCCAACCCCCACATCGTCTCTACCCATACATTGCCCCCTCCATCATCAACTCCGAGTACGCAGCCTGCCATACCTCTCCACAAACCTTCATTTTCACCCTAATGGTTGGAGTATTAGACGTGGCCTTGATTGTCTGTGTGGTCGCCTCAGGTCTCATCGCAGCCCTCTTGATCTATTTGCTATGTCGGCGGCATCGTTGTCACCGCGATCTTGAAACCACTTGCAGCAACACCACCACCCTGAACGACGGGATAGCTGGTGGCGGAGAAGGAGCTTACAACCCCCCCTCCACTTCCCTCAACCCCCACAGGTGCGGCTCATCAACCGTCAAATCCGGCCCTAGCACCACCGCCAACACTGACGACTATCACCACCGCCACCACACGTCGTCGCTAGGAGGGATCAACTTGTACGCCATCTCCCTGTATCGCATTGAAGAAGCCGACGTGTTCATCCATCGACCGCTGGGATCGGGGGCGTTTGCAGACGTCATGCTCGGCGACTACAAAGGTCGAGAGGTAGCCGTGAAGCGGCTGCTGCCCGGCCGGGCGACGGTTCGCGAAGTGCAAGCCCTGGTGGATGAAATCACGCTCTTGGCGGGGTTCTCGTCGCCTTACATTGTCGAATTTGTGGGGGCGACGTGGGACAAACCCATCGACTTGGCGTGTGTGTTGGAGTTTATGGACCTGGGCGACCTGCGCCACTACTTGAGCCATCAAAGACCCAGGGAGTTTCTGTGGCAGGACAAATTGGCGTGCATACACAATATCGTGGAAGGGTTGGTGTACCTACATTCGTTCCCAATCATCCACCGCGACTTGAAGTCTCGAAACATCCTTCTCGACTCGACCAAGGGCACAAAGCTCACGGATTTTGGAGTGTCGAGGGAACAAAGCCAAGAAACCATGACCAACGGCGTCGGGACGGGCAGATGGATGGCCCCGGAGATCCTCAAGTACAACCACTACTCGGTGGCCGCCGATATCTTTTCATTCGGCATGATCTTGTCCGAACTGTCGACCCACCAGTTGCCGTACACGGATCGGTTGAATCCGTACGACGGCAAGCCGTTGATTGACACGGCGGTGATGGCCATGGTCATCTCGGACGAGATTAAACCCACGTTTGCACCCGACATGCCCATGTTTTTAAAAGACATGGCCATGCACTGTATCGCACACGAAGCCACAGAACGTCCCACGGCCGCCGTCTTGTCGTACACCCTTCGACAGCACATGACGGGGACAATAGAAGAAGAAACATCGTAGTGTGTGTGTGAGGCTTGATAGTACAAATACTCAGTAATTGTACTGTAGGACGACTTTATCCAAATCAATAATGTCGAGTGCTTCGTTGTTCGCAATAATTCTGACATGACATTTCAAAACCATTTAAAACATGACCAAGGGCTTCATTGGTCGCAGTACTACTGTATTAATACAGTACTCTCTGTAGTACTGTGACATGGTCATTTCAAAACTATTTAAAACAATACTGTGTGTATGCGTGTATTTTCGAGGTGACAAGTCAAGGTGTGAGTTATCCATCCGACGCAAAGGATGAAGCTGTTCCAAGTGACGATTCCAAACGACCAGCATCACAAGGTACGTCGCGAGCTCTTGCTTGATGTACATGTGATGGAGATGCATATGTAGGTCGTGACAGTGCTGCAAGACGACCTGAACCTGGAGAACGTCACGAGCATCGAAGCGCGGACGTCGTCGATCGTATCTTTTCGTCGATGACGAAGAGGTGCAGGGTGTGCTCATAGTGCTGTAGAAGCTCGGCGTGGGCGTCCAGTTCGGCTTCTGTGACGTCATGTCACCCACTACGGGTACGACCATCTCCAAAGCCAAGCGGGGTCCAAGAACTCAATGCGATCGAGGCGCGGCATCTTCCAAAAGGCCAGCGATGTGCCCGCCATTCCTGTCGCAGAGATCTACGCACACATAGAAGCCAGCACAACGCTCTCCCGCGATTCTATCGGGATGCTCTTCATCTCGTCGTATGGGGTTTCATTCCTTGAATCTCACTCATGACATCCTACCTACCTTCGACCTACCTTCGACCTACCTTCGCACATAGTTCCATAGCTGGCATGGTCTCGCCGGTGACTCCCCCGTGCGCGATGTCACATATCGTCTTCCTTGACCTGTCGTAGACTTGCGTCGTCGCGTCCATGTTGTTGTCCCCACTCATGGTCGGTCCACCCATTGTCGTCCAGAAGCTCAGTCACGTCATGATGCAAGGTCCCATTCTCGGCTGCTCGTTTGGCTACACCATCCGCGACCGCAATAAAGTTTCTGAACGGCCTCTTCAACGAACTCTCTGCATTGGGTGCGTAGCTCCTCCCTCATGTTCACAAAACCTCACCCTCCCCATTTCATGTCATTTGGCAGGCCATTACGTTTCTACTGGGCAGGCTGGTGGGCATAGTCTTGGTGCCCTATGCGGACGATGTGAAGTGGCCGACCGTGGAGATGAGCTCCCGGGGTCAAGCCGTGTCGCTCATCTTTGGGGCGATGGTCGCCGCCTTGTCCGGGGCGGGGGTCGCGCTCGCCGAGTCGAACGCCAACATTTCGTCCGTCGTCCCCCACCGTCAACTGTAGCATTTGTTTGTCGTATGCGATCCTCGGGCCCTTGTTTGTGACCGACTACTATGAACCGTCCACGAAGAATGTGTTTCTCGAAATATTGCGCTCCTCGACTTGGATCAAAGTCGTGTTCAAGTTGAAATAACTCGACTAGTTTCAACTGCTGCTGCGAAACGTGGGCAAATCCACGTGGCAGAACCTGCCCAAGCCCCCCGGATGCGCTAACTACCGCCACCGCCACCTCGACGCCCCCTTAGGACGACACGCATGTGCGGCCGCCACCAGCTATGTCCGATGTACCTCGGACGTTTCATGTGTTTGCCATCATCGATGACCATCCTTCCCATCACCCCCCGCTATCCTTGTCGCCTCCTGTCCCCGGTACCGCCATGAAGCGTCGGATAAATTTCGTGGAGCTTCCCAAGACAGCAACGACAGTCCGTTGGTAAAGGCCACCATCACGTCCCTGAGGCTTGGCTTGGAATACGAGGACGTTTGGTGTCCCTACTATTTATAGTATACTACATTAACGAGCAAGTAGCTTTAACGGTGTGATGCTGAAGTCGTTGATTTCGGAGGAGACGTGAGGCTGATACGTCGCTTGATGAGCTGACGATGCAGCCCTGCGATGGCAGCATTTGCGTCCTTGGAACGCTACAGAAAAGAAAGCTATTCAGTCCAACCAAAATCACTTTAAATTACATACCCCTTGAACACCAGTCCACAGGCTAAGTCGTCGAGGGTGGGGTGCGGCCAATGGGTCCTTGGTTACCACTTGTAGTCCAGTCGCTGCCGGCGTGGGGCGGATGGGCGTGAGGTCTGTCTCATCCGACGGCGTCGGGTTCGCCACTGGGACGGTGGTCGGTCGTGGGGGCGACCTCGGCAGGGCCTTGAGGACATTCTTGGCTGACCTATCGTGTTAAAAACATCAGCAAAAGCAATGTAGCTACGGTAGTACATTTAGCGTACGGGCGTCGAACGAGGGGGCTTTGACTTGTTGGGGACATATCTTTGTCGACGATAAGGCGGGGACTCCGCCGAACGATGCGGGACCGCGCACGGTGTCTCAGAAGGGCCTGCCACCGCGTGTCGGCTTGGATCTCGTCGTCGTCTTTGTTGTCTTCGGACGGGTTCGAGTCCGACCCAGCCGACCCTTCGGACGAATTGCAGTCGGTTTCGGCGCTGAGCGGAACGACCGTGGAGATTTCATCGAGAAGGAGGATGGCGTCGGCGGACAGCTCAAAGGTGTTGTCATCGTTGTCGTCTTTGTTTTGGCGGTGTCGATTGAGGGGATGGAGGGGCGTAGAATGACATGTATCGTCGCCGTCGTCGTCTGCCATAACATCCATCGGACCTCCAGCGGCGGCATCCGGGTCGACAGGCAGCGGGGGCACGGACGCCTCGTCGACAGGTTCGATGGCCAACAAGCGACCGTAGTTGGCCAAGGCGCAGCAGAATTTCTCGCCAGACTGGACCAGATCCCGTACGCGGTAATGGGTGGTCGACATGGTCGCAGCCTCGGTATGTGATGATCCTCCTCCTCGAGACGAAGGCGATGTCGGAGGGTGGTACTTGACTTGGTTTTCGCCGGATCTGTCACAATTGTCAAATGTCCATCATGTCGTTTGTATGACACATCAATCCACAGCAAGAAATGGCGTACCCGCAAAAAGACGTTTCCAACGTGAAGCTGTTGAGGATTCGAATGTCGTTCCACACAGTCACTCGACCTGTGGACCGTTTGGAACGCGCCACATTGAACGTGCAGTCTGGAAAACTGAAAAACCCGCCTAATAATATTAGTACATATCACCAGTATTCAATGAAATCTCCACATCAGCAGCGCAACTTATGCCAAGGCCCGGGCACTCAGTTTGCAGTCACGATATGTCGTCTCTTGGTCGTCGTTGTACCTTCTTCTGCGCTAGACGCTTTGGACAGCAGGTACGGAAACAATCGCATTTTCGCGGCTTCGAGTTTCGACCACGTGAAGTACGGCTTGCACCCATACCTAGGAGAGTTTTCAGAATGAGATTTCACATCAAGTGAGCACTTATCACTTGAAAGATAGCTTACACAAACATGTTTTTCTTGCGGCTGTGGCCGTGGATGTCGCAGAAGAGTACGACCCGCCTTGCATTCCGCATAGACATGATCATGTGTTTAGCCGCGAAAATCGTCGGGTGTGAGTCTTGGCAGGGCTTGGACCACCGCCGATTGAGGTCTACGCCTGCGACAGAGCACCGGTAGTTGCCGTGGATGACGCCATCGGGGTTCAACATGGGAATGATCTTGAACACAAAACACTGCCGCAACCGCAGCGCTTCTTTCGACGAGCCTAGAGACGACCACAATCATGTCGAAATGGTACCAAGGATACCATCGCCCCATCGATACATACCTGTCAAGAAATCGATGATGCCCTGCATGACAAAGCTGCCGTTGGTTTCCCCAGGGTGGACCCTCGCGGTCAAGACAACCCCCGTCCGTAGCATCAGCACTACAACATCAAACATGGCTCATTAGCAAACAAAGCGGTATACGATGATATTTGCACTCCAAACCTCGAGGCTCGTTGGTGTATTCTGTGATCGTGAGCACATCGCAGGCGTTGCCACATACGGTGGGGCACAGGGTGCGACGACGTACGTTGGGGCTTCGAAGGGGACACGCCAACAGCGACTTTAGATACGACTGCAAGTTTGTGTATGTGTAGGGAAAGCAGTGCGCAAAGTACACCGTGTCGACGCCGGTGTCAAACTGATACACAAACGACAGGGTATAGTGGTAGCGTTTCGTTCGCCATCGACGGCGGGGGTGGTCGAATTCGTCGGAATTCTGGTAGTAGTAGGCTTCAACTCCGGCATGTGTCCATCCTGCGAGGCCTTGAGCTGCCTTGGCCTACATTTTCAGCGGTGAGGTGAGTAAGGAGGGGTTGTCGATCCAACCTCGGAATAGACGGTTGGGAGCATCCCAGAGTTGTACAAGCTGTCCCGCTTCATCATGTTGCGGATGTTGAAGCGCACGATGAGGCTGGTTTTCCCGGGGGGGATGAGATCGCGAAGCTTAACTTGAAAGTAGTACCATTGCACATGTCCTAGCCGATGTGCATTTAGTCGTTATGAATGAAGCAGAGGGACACGCGATTGAGGATACCAAAGGTGTAGGTGTCGCAGTCGCAATACAAATCGTACTCTTGGTCGACAACCGCAGGCAGCAGCACCTCGGTGGGGGGCGCGAGCCCCCCGCGACAGGCTTTGGGTGCCGCGAGCTTGCTTTGGTTCAAATGCTTTGTGCACTGAGGCAAATATGTGGCGTAATTGCGGTTGTGCACGCGGTAGGCACATTCAAGGTTACCGCTTTCGAACCACGAGTTGAACAACAAGTTGGACGGATCATTGTGCGTCGGAATGAACTCTTTGGATGTACTCGTGGTGTTGGGGCGCTGGTACACTAGCACTCGGTCTGCCATAGCATTTACCTTTTTCCAGAACCTCGCTTCGAGCTCGGTGAAGACGTTGGCTAGCCGCCGCGACTGGTCCGCACTCCCCACTGGACATCCACGCGCCGTCCCTGGTTCGTCCAACATCCGGTGGTCGATGTGCGGAAACACGCAACCGAACTGCCCTGTTGCCTGTTCGCTCGTGTCGACGTCGTGGCCGACTTCGTAGATGGGCAGCGGGGACAATTGGCTCAGTAGGAGCATGTTTTTCAGTTTGCGGGTCTTGTGCTTCAACGAGGGGGTGGTCGTGGTAGGGACCGCTGTAGTAGTAGACATGGTCCGCCAGACCGCGACAACGAAAACCGGGTACCCTTTCAGTTACACCTCCAAAACTGAAACGGCGCGCGCAACAGGACATACAGCTAACTCGAAATTACTTCCAAGTAGTATAGTATTACTATGTAGCACTAGTAGTAAAGCAGTTTTCTGTGACGCCAAATTGCTCTAGACCGTTATTTATTGTAGATCCACACCTTAACGTTACAATAATCACGGAATAACGTTAACGTTAGTAAGTTGTACATTCAGTCGCTCCCTCAGTGCGGAACTTTCTGTACTATAGTATAGTACTATCAAATACTCCGAGTACTGGAGTACGCTACAAGTGCAATTTGAATCAATAGCTAACGTTAACTTTACTTGGACAAGTGCTTTAGGCATACACCACACCATCTACCCAGCGAACCGTCACGTACTATAATAACTATTACAAACACTATTTCTTTACATATGGTGGCAAGATCACACTATTTCAGTATCGTTGAAAGTGAAAACATGCATTCCTGCAAGAGGGTAGACATCTGAAGTCATATTGGAGTACGAGTATTACAGCACAATGAAGTAAAGTCGAATGTATAACGTTACGCGTAAGAATACCAGACTATCTCACGTCGACCTTCGCACTATGTGGCTTTACAAAGGTACAGCTAAGACATTACTTGCGGTGGCCACTTGAAATCTTCGAGTGAAATGTCACCCCTCCCCTAACTTGACATTTGTAACACATACAAAACCTAAGCGACAAATTCGGCCAAGTGCTGAAAGAGTGATTTCCACGCCACGTCGACATCATCATGCTCAAGGTGCACCGCAAAGCAGGGGAGCTTCTCTTGGAAGACTGCCGAAAAGGGGACTCCAGCTGGCTGCGCGTGAGTCTTCCTTCGTCCAAGGTGGACAAAGTGAGCGGCGGGGATGCTTTCGCATCGTCGAAGCCGTTGATCGACCTCGAAGAAGTGGCGCGAGTGAAGGACGCATCCGACGAGCCACCCGTGGAAGTCAAAGCGTTGTACGGCGTGTACTCGCTTCTATCGGGGCCGTACTTGGCGTTCATCAAGGACAATGCTCGCGTCATCGGCAAAGGACCCAACGACGAAAGCATCTACCAAGTGCTTGAGCTCGAGTTCATCCCCGTGTCCGAGCACGCGGAGCGCCACTTTCAGTCTCACGCGAGCAAGCAGGAGAAGCGCGACCAGTCCATCTACCTCAACATGCTCAAGACGATCGGGAAGACCAAGATGTTCTACTTCTCGTTCGAGTATCCGCTCACGTTATCGGCCCAGCGCCACGCGTTGGCGACGGCGTCCGCAGCCAAATTGCCCGCCCATGCGCGCGCCGACGAGTCGTTCTTCTGGAACAAACCTGTGTTGGAACCATTCCTGCACTCCAAGATCAAGCTCGATCGGTGGATTGTGCCTGTGATCAACGGGTTCGTCAAAGTGGTCAAAGGAGTGGTCATGGCCGCCAACACGGCACCGGTCGACTTTTTCTTTTTCACGCGGCGCAGCTGGCACCGCGTGGGCACGCGCTTCAACGTCCGCGGCGTCGACAAGGACGGCCACTGCGCCAACTTTTCCGAAACTGAGATGATTGTGCAGAAGGGCGACGGCGGCCTCTGCTCGTACGTCCAGATCCGGGGGTCAATTCCATTGTACTGGGACCAGATGGTCACGCTCAAGTACATGCCCCGCACGCGGTATGCGTACAGCCAGTCGGACTTGATTGACTGGAACGAGCTCGCTTTCCGAGCGCATTTCGACAACGTGATTGCCAAGTATGGCCATGTCACGGTGCTCAACTTGATCGACAGGAATGGCAAGTCGGCCACGGTGCGCGACCAAAACCAGCTTGGGTCGGCGTTTCAAAAGTACACGAAAAAGTACAACCAGAACCAAAGCAGCGGACACGACGACGACGAGAACGTCATGACGTCGACGTCGTCGTCGCCGTCGTCCGCGGCGGCCTCGCTCCGGCTACGCAAAGCGTCGTCGACGGTAAAGGACTCGATTTCTGCAGCGTCGTCCACGTCATCTTCGTTGTTTGCGCAACCCATTGCGTACATTTGGTTTGACTTTCACGACGAGTGCCGCAAGATGCAGTGGGGCAACCTCGCAAAACTCATGGAGTCAGCGTCCGAGTGTTTTGCCAAGTACGACTGGTTCGAAGTCGACGCCGACGGCCGCGTGCTCAAGAAGCAGAAGGGCGTGTTCCGCGTCAACTGTATGGACAACCTGGACCGGACCAACGTCGTCATGAGCCTCGTGGCGCGGCGCACGATGCTGCTGTGCCTGCGCCTCGATTCGAACGACATGTCGTGGCTCGACTCGCCCTTTGACCAGTTCGAGTCGTTCTTCAAAAATGCATGGGCAGACAACGCCGACGCAGTCTCCGTCATGTACGCGGGCACGGGCGCGCTCAAAACCGACTTTACCCGCACGGGCAAGCGAACCCTCGCCGGCGCGCTCCAAGACGGCATCAACTCGGTCACTCGGTACTACCTCAACAACTTTACGGATGGCATCCGTCAAGACTCGCTCGACTTGTTTGTTGGCAACTTTACCGCCGACCGCCGCACCGACAGTCCGTTCACGGTCCAGCAGCAAAACACGTTTGTGTTTATGCTGGCGGAAGTACTGCTCTTGGGCATCTTTCTCACCGGCGTGTCGCTGTCTTTGCATTGGAACGAAGACATCCGCATCCGCCTCCGAGACGGTGTCGCAGCTGCCGCGGTTGGTCTTGTGGTCCTCGCGGGCTTGTTGCTCAAGAAAGGATCGTTTCGATCCGTGGGCCGACACTGCGTGTGCAAGCCTGCGTTTTGCTCGACGGGGTACATCCGGAGACCGGAAGGGGCGAAGTAGAAGTAGGCTTTGGGTGCACTTCATCTATAAACTGTCTACTTTACACGCGTGCTAACAGCTAGTTCGCAATGTTCAAGCGCAAAATGGCATGGAACTAACAAGCCAGTGTATTTGTCAGTGACGAGGTTGTCTTGCTGTTAACGCTATTGTGAAGCTTTACACTTGGTACCACTACTGTGGAGTAAGTTAAGAGTTATTGTGAATTCGCTACAAACTGCCATAATTCACGTGGTTTTTAATCATTACCAGTATTGAATCATACTGGAAGTTCTGATTGGTTGTGTATTGTAGTCTTTCCAATAATAGCCAATCAGATCCACTAAAAATTGGCGTAGCGACAATTCGATGAGGTTGGGAAATTTGTACTGTACCGAATTCACGATAACAATTTCGTTATATCTCGAACTACATACGTACTCGGGGTATAATATACTATTAATACTACGTAGTACTAGTACTTGGAAGTAATATTATATCTATACTTCAAGTATTTAAACTACAGTACAGTATTAATAGTAATACACCCTAACACCGTATTTCGAAGGTGAAATTGTGAACCAATCCACGTCGCCCGGCCAAAGATCGGCACCAACAGTCGTGCAAGTCGTTTGGAGCATCCATGTCGGCGGCGTTGGGGTCCTCGGCGGTAAAACCCGTGATCAAGAACTCGACCATGGACCAAGACCTGCTGGATGAAGTCATATGGGTAGCTCAGGCCGCGATCGAATCCGAAGTCAATGAACAGTTTATCGCTGCTAAGATCAAGCGGCACTTCGAGCTCAAGTACCACGGAATGTTGTGGCACTGCTGCGTCGGGCGCAACGTCGCATGCTACGTGACCCACGAGCAGTCCAAGTTCCTGTACTTTTATATTGGACAGATGGCAGTCGTGCTGTTTGCAACGGCGTAGTGCCTCCGAACAAGTTACATACCATGGGTTCATCATTTTTGCTACTGCCAAGATGCCATCAAAATCATTCAGTCTGAATCAAACTCCCCATCAACACTCGAGTCAAGGCATTGAGTGGCTGTCGGAAGTAGTAAGAGTTGTAGCAGATAAGAATCCACACCAAGAAATGCACTGTACATGATGATATGGCGTCTTGGGTTGCGATGCAGTAGCTAGCATTGGTAAAAATGAGTACTCGATCGACGTAGGATACTTGAACTCCTACGGTAGAGCTACATGTTTTGTAAACCTCTCATGAGCTCCTGCGTTCCTGATCCTCCTAGGACATTGGTCCATCTCCTGTGATATGTTCAACACTAGCTGAGGAACTCTCCAAGTGGAGCATGAGATTTCGATCGAGATACCAGTATGGCCAAACGTACATACCCACCTGCTTTCAATCTGGTCACACTATGCTCATAGCTTATGGTAGCCATGATGATATATATTATTTCATCGCAGCAGCTTATGTACGACATTAAGTCGCATGCTAACGTTAATACGACTACGTGGTAGCTTCCGGTCTCCGAACGTACCCTGTCGAGCAAAAAGCAGAGTCGACCCACGGATCGAAACGATCCTTTCTTGAGCAACAAGCCCGCGAGGACCACAAGACCAACCGCGGCGGCTGCGACTTTGTGTCGGAAGCGGATGTCTTCGTTCCAGTACTGTACAAACGTGTTTTGCTGCTAGACGTGAACAGACTATCGGTGTGGCGGTTTGCCAAAACACAAGTCGAGCGAGTCTTGACGGATGCCGTCCGTAAAGGTGTTGAGGTAGTACCGCGTGACCGAGTTGACGCCACCTTGGAGCGCGCCGGTGCCCGCGTACATGACGGACACCGCGTCGGCGTTGTCTGCCCATTCGTTTTTGAAGAACGACTCGAACGCGTCAAAGGGCGAGTCGAGCCACGACTTGTCGTTCGAATCGAGGTGCAGGCACAGCAGCATCGTGCGCCGCGCCACGAGGCTCATGCCAACGTTGGTCCGGTTCAGGATGTCCGACGCCGAACACGCCCTTCTGCTTCTTGAGCACGGGGCCGTCGACTTCCAACCAGACGTCCTTGATGTCGACTGGTTGTGAAAAGTACACTTTCAGGTAACCATATATGTAAAAAACTTGAGCGGATTTTCCCAAGCAATATATATTAATTAAAGAATATGATAAAAGTATTTTAAAAAAACAATCAATTTTTTTTAAAATTTCAAATCAGCTTAGGCTTGGTATGTCTTTTAAACTACCAACTACCTAATCTTCCGCAAACTCATCCAATAGCGTTTTTTAAACTTTATTTTTTATTCAGAATTTTTATAAAATAATTATGATCAAGCTTTCGCCCATTGTCCAATATTCCTCGGTTTTATTTTTTAAAATACATGGAAATGTATCTATTTATAAAATTCATTTATTATCTTTATAATATAAAATATATATATAAATATTTTTTAAATATATGTATTCTTTATCTATTATTTTTTTACCTTTATTAGGAGCTATTTTCGGGGGTTTAATGGGAAAATGGATAGGTAATATAGGATCTTCTATAAAATTTAAAATTTAAAAATACAACCTCTAGGACTCGAACCTAGATAATGTAGCTTAGAAGGCTAAGACTCTACCAATTAAGTTAAGGCTGTATTTTTAATTAATATTTATTTTTGTTTAATACTTCGTATTATTTTCCTAGATAATTGTTGATATAAATTTTTTGTAAAAATATTTTTATCTTTTTTTTCTTTAATATTTAAAGTAACAGCACCTATTAAAGCTATTAATAAAATTAAACCCGCAATTAAAAGAAAGAAGGCATAATATGTGTATAAAATTTGACCTAATGTTTCAATATTTGTAATTGAATCAAATTTAAATAAATATTTACTATAATGATAAGTAACTTTTTTTTAACTTTATTTATTGTATTCGACATAATGGTTTATGCTATGACTTCTATAGGTAGTTTAACACTAATAGCAGGTCTTTGACCTTGATTAAATAGTTCTGTTTAATAAAAAAAGAAAAAGGTAGCGAAATTCCTTGTCGGGTAAGTTCTGAAGTTAATTCATTTTAAAATAAAAATTTGTTTTTTTGACGATGTTGATGAATCGCAACTGAATTTGTCGACGAATCACTACAGCTACTGTAGAACTTGTCCGAATTACAACGGTGTGGACTGTGTAGTTTTGCACGAGTACTGTATCAATTACAAATACTCCTAATTAACCGGTAAATAAGGGGGGCTCCTCGGCCTGGTTCGCTTCGCTCCCGGCCTCCGGTGCTCCCAAGGATTATATAGATCATTGCTGTGATACTGAGTCGCTGCGCGGGCGAACGGGCCTGGTTCCCGGCCCTGGCCTAAGCTAGCTCCTAATCGTTCCGGATAAGTTGTTTCGTGTTTGTTTCGTAA